CTGATATTTTGTACTCATGAATACGTTGTTCTACGAAAATCATATTGACAGAAATATAAATATATGTAATGTGAAGCTAAGCATAAAAATAAGCAAATTATAAAACTTTTGCAGTTTCAATTTTTATTACAAATAACAGACATGTTATTATATTGACTTTCCAATTAATACACATGTTGTTTTATACTATTTAATATTTTTATTTTTTCCTTAAAATTTTCACATGCATTAGGTGATAACCCTATCAGAATAGGTATAGATTTTCGACGTTGTTAGGAAGCTTCCCCTCTGGTCCTTATTCTTTACTCTGTGGCTAGAATTCAGAGCCGTAAAGCTAGTTAAAAAAATATTTATCTATGACCTATGAGTCTATGTGAGTCTATGTCTATGACCAGGGACTTAAAACGTTATAAATAACAGAATGTATAACGTTATAATAACGTTATGATGGTATCGTTACCTTAGCAAGCATAGCGTTTTCAATATTTTGTATAACGTTTTAAGAGTAACAGAACAAAATTGTGACAGGCAATTTAACGTTATTATAACGATAAAGACGCGACGTTGCCAAACCTATTCATTTTCAAAAGCGGCCGAATCCGCGCGACTTACGAGATGGGTGGGGCCTGGGATCCAATTCGTCTACTAGATACTCGTAGCTTGGACGGACGAGGAATTCTTTGCACCGCACGCACTCCAGAAGCGAACTGGCAACGTTGTAAAGTGAATGATCATTTGATAATATCAACTGCTTGTGAATTGCGATTTGCGACGTATTAATAATTATACCTAGATAAATTTATTTATTTATTCTTTATTGCACCAAATATTTGTACAAAAGGCGAGCTTGATGCTATATGGCATTCTCTACCAGCTAACCATAAATATCATATTACTTATATTTATTTATTTTTTAAAGTTGATTCGAACTACACTTGTTTACAAATATTGAAAATGGATCGTATAAATTAATAAATCTTATAGATATTTTAATCTTGATCAATAGTAAGACTTCAAAATGTTTAATTGCTGGATACGAAAAAGTTTTGAAGGTAAGTTAAGCAAAAATCTTAGATAACGTGTAGAAGAATGCGCCTTTTTCAGTCAGTTTTCATTAAGAAAAATATTGTATTTATATATGTACAGGGTCTCCTAGAAAACAGGATACCAACCTACTTTACCTTCTGTTAGAGCATGGTCCTTCCCCGGTCGAGCCGACCTATTCGTACTACAACTATAGTACTAATATAGCTGCAGCCTGCAGCATAGCTCTACAACATCATACCTTGTCATATTTACCTGTTAGATAGGTACCTATTCCTATCTTAATTCATTATCTGGGGGCACGGCAGTGCCAAGTCGAGCAAAAAAGCGGCACGGCCATACCATCCTTTTCTCGAAGCAGTTCAGCCCATTTTCGAAACCCTATAACTTCGTTGTGGATAAAACTAGAAGCCTGAATTTTCAGTAACCAAGTAGGTATTGTATAGGTTCGGTATGTTTCAAATTTCATTAAATTTGAACCAATAGTTTAAGAATTATGACTAGCCAAAGTTTTTTAATTTTGTCACTCACTGACTGACTGATCATCAAAACTCTAAGCCACTTCTAGCAGACCTAGAAGCTTCAAATTTAGAATGCAATTAGTGTTTAGTATATACATCAAGGAAAAATTAAAACATTTTGCAATTTCGGCCCAGTTTTAGAGATACACCAACTGCATAAATAACTTTGTAATCCCATATAAATTTATAGGATTACAAAGTTACATTTGCAGTGAATGAATAAGTGAACCTATATAATTATGTATAATATAATGGAATAATAGGTGTAGATAGGTACCTAGATATATGTATCTACAAAAAGAAATGAGATGCCATTAAAAACATAACTTGTAAAAAAACCAAGTCTCGCAACTCAGATCTTCTACCGTAAAAAGTTGTGAGATCCATATATAAATATTAATAATACCAAGTCGATTGATTTATTCAGTCCCTACTTAAGGGTTCTTCTGTCTTAAGTTATTAAGTAATTAGCTAACCTAACAACATCTTATAGTGACTATATCAATATTAAAAATCTTTTATATTTTGAATAAATAAATTGACTTGGCAATCGCACTAAACAATCTAATTTAATATAATATGTATTACTTGAGAGATACATTGTGTTTTCATGCGATGGCCAAGTCAATCCATTTATTTAAAATATAAAAGATCTTTAGTATTGATGTGGTCACTATAAGATGTTGATAGGTTAGCTAATTACTTAATAACTTGAGACTGAAGAACCCTTAAGTAGAAAATTAACTAACCGACTTGGTATTACATGGATCTCACAACTTTTTACGGTAGAAGATCTGAGTTGCGAGACTTGGTTTTTTTTACAAGTTATGTTTTGGATAGCATACTTTTTTAGATTTACACAAATATTTGACATTTTTAATAAAACTATCAATATTATTTTAGCCAATATCATAAACACTAGTCAACCGATTTTGATGAAATCGATATTATTCCCTAAGTTGAAATAAATGTAAGCAAATAATTCCTAAGTTGAAATAAATAAAAAACGAATGATCACGATCTGACTAGTTTCGGAGAAATGCGTGGACAAACATACATACTTATATAGACGTATAAAATTCTGTATATTGGCTTGGAAGCTCTGATAGATAATTATATGTGAATATTTTGCAGTTCCAATAATATTACATACATTCGTGTCGAATTGATAACCATCTTTTTTGAAGTCAGTTAAAAATTTAAACCGACTTTATACTTAGACAGAACATATCTTGAAAACTACTGAAGCGATTTTTATGAAAATTGCACTGTTCTTTAAGTTGAAAGATGCTTAATGTAATAAAAAAAGTGTGTGTGTACTTATATACGCACGTAGGAATTTACACTTTTTTAGCGTAACAAACCAAAAATAACTAAAAATTATATAGGATCCTGGTGACAATTAATTGACGGCTCCGTGTCACAGTGGCTTAACAATGAGTTGCAGCGCTAAGGGCCGTGGGTTCGTTTCCCGAACGGAATAAATATTTGTATGGCCTAAAAATAATTGTTCTAGGTCTAGATGTTTATCCTTGTGAAATATATGTATGTAAACGTCCCCTGCGATACAGGAGAAAATCTAATTATAAAAGTAAAATTTGTGGAGATAACGTTTTTAAAAATATATATATAATTTGTATTTATTAAAATTTTTAAACCTTATTATTCTAAATTTTTGCTCTTAATATTGTTTCACAAAATATCACGTACACATCGATCACGTCTTTTGATGGGTAAATTTAACCTATTTTATCTTTAAGGGTATAAATAAATATATTAACGATTTTACACCATTATGCTGAGAAGCTCAGAATGCCAAACTGCGATAATGTCTCCACACTTAAGTTTGCTTAGCAAAACTCTTCCTCTCTATCCACATTTAATATATTGCAAAACTATGTTCTTTTCTTATGTGCATGGAAAGAAAATCACTTAATACTAATATACTTTGAAGTGGCAGAGAATTTGTATTATATATATAACATTATCGTCTTTCTTCGCGTCACTTCAATACTACTGATTGATGTAGTATAAGCAGATAAGCTAAATGGAGTTTCAACTATGTATTGATATGTGGATAGATCAACCTGGAATTCAAACAAATTAAATTGACAAAGCAGACTTATTGGAACGAAGTTCCTTATTGGACGGTACGAATTTGGCGGATGGGGGCTAGGTGAGAAAAAATGTAAGATTTTTCCGTCACGACCCCTTCTGACGTATAAAAAAGCGAGATGGAATAATATCCATCTCCCTCGCACTTTTTCTTATCTTGCCATGAAAGAAATATTATTTTATTTTAAATGACCCTTAATTTTAATAGACGCTAGTAATTCATTGTATTTGTTTTTTTTTATAGGGTAAGGGTAACAAACGAGCACACAGTCCACCTGATGGTAAGTGGTTGCTGCGGCCCATAGACATCTACATCTATCCTCGTTTGCGAATCAAAATGCAGATGCGTTGCCACCCGTGAGAACTAAGATGGAATGCCTCATTTCCAGTAAAAAGGGCCTCCGACCACCTGCACTCACCAAGCGAAACGCAGAGGTAAAACTCTACTTCACGCTGGTATTCTGTGAGGTCGTGGTACCACCCCGGTTCGAGCCGGCCCATCCGTGCGACAGCAAAAGCTGCCGCGTGGCTCTACCACTGTGAAAAATTGTTAATCAATAATATAATACGTTTATCAATAATAATAATATAATATACTACGAAATGTACTTCGTTCCAACCGAGTGTTCCACAACACTCACACATGTTTTTTTTTTCACATTACTTATGAAATTTAAGGGCAATCTAACATACTTATAATCTAGTTTAACAATAATATAGAAGAATATTTCAACTTCTATACAATTATTTTGTCTACACAATCCTTAATGTATGCGGTAAGATATTAAGAACACCATTTTATTGTTAAGAATGTAATACAAAGTTTATGAACTATTTATTTTGAAACACCCATATTCCGAGTTGTATATACTACTACAGTTGATAATTCAATTGTTCCGATAACAACCACAAAACGTATTTTCAACCTATAATTTTAGAGCACTGCATTCGATAGATCATACGAGTAAAAGAGATGGCATAGACCAATAAATAATAACATTATGATTTTGTAATAACAATATTTTAGAAACGTTTATTTGACAAAGTTATTGTAACGTAATTATAACGTTATATACATGCAAAGCTTTGCATAATATCGTTTTGACATATCGTTTCTCTTAAACATAACGTTATCGCGCACTTGCGCAAATAACGTTACTGTATTTTAACGGTATTTAAGTCCCTGTCTATGACCTCATTTATTTATCACACATCATGAATTTTTAGACATAAAAATCCATAATATTTGTGTTTTTGACAGCATAGTTTTATAAAGATCAAGATTCAGATTAAAATAGCAAACGAGGCAAACGTGTTGTCATGTCGAATATATCGAAAAGAAGAAAGGAGGGCTCAAGGGCCAAGATCAAGGTAAATAGCAGGTCAAGCACAAAGTGTAACGTGGTTAAATAATCTAGTATTTAATCAAGGTTTAGACTACTTAATTACTCTTAGTATATAGTATTTATTATTTTCAAATGCCGTTATACATATCAATACAAAACATCCATATCATGTTTTTTTTAAATATTAAAAATATTTAAATAACTACTAAAACATGTGGTAATTGAACCGCTACGATGGGATTTTTAATGCATTTATTTAATCAGTTTTACAATTGATAGCTTTAGATTACTTACCCAAAGTAAGCACTTTCATATAACTACTGTTTAAAATAAAGTGTACATGTATATGATTTTTTTACTGTACGTGTACAAAGTTTCATGGCTCGGAAACTTAACAATTTAACACATTTGACATGTGATGTGTTGCTTGTTGTGTTGGGGTTTTATAGAATTTAAATGTTATTTTTTATTTATTTCAACACTTGCAACTAACTATCTTTACAGGTAATCTTAATACGATAGTGTAACTATTCTATGTGCTATTCTTATACGTGATTATCTTTTTAAATTTGATACATAACAAATAACTTACAAATATACAGATCTGCACTTTTGGAACTCTTTTCATGAGCTTAATGTCAACCTCATAGTTTTGTACTATAGGTGTTTTTGTGTGGGTGAAAGATATTGTCGTGTACTTTGAGGTGTTAAATTGCAAAGAAGTTTAGAAGATGTGGAGTAAAACCGATGCTAGCCAATTTTTTTCAATAATACACTGTTATTTATCGAATCAAATGCTTTTTAAGTTGTGTCCACCTGTTCACCCCTATCTACTGTTGCCACAATTTGAGCCATATAACTAAGTAAATTACTGTCAGTACTTCTTTCTGGTCTCAACCCATGTTGAGCATCTGATAATTGCATGCTTACCTATAAGTATAAATTGTAATGAGTAACAGACTCTAGTATTTTTGCTGGAGCTGACAGTACTGCTACTGGTCTATAATTTTCTAAGTTATTTACATTACCTGCTTTAGGTCCGTGTTGGACCTGCTGACCTTTTCAGTTTGAGTTTTTGGAGCGCTTGTCGCACTTCATCTAAGCGTAGCCTCTAGGTGGACATGTGCCGCACCATTCTCACCTCTTGCTTCTGCTACCGCTACATCTACATTCAGATCCACTCGTCGAGTACTATTTACAAAGTGGAAATATTTTGTGAACTCTATAACACCTTAATGATTTCTTATATTTACGTGAAGACTACACATTAAATGAAACTAATTTTTACAGATTTTATCGTGTTTAATTTAACTTTTTAATTCCGCGTCGTGTCAAAATGTCGGGATTAAAAAGTTAAATTAAACCGTGATAAAATCTGTAAAAATTAGTTTCATTTAATCTTTAACACCTTGCTCTTCAGATAATACATTTCTATTTTTTTAAATATTTCTATGGATTTCTATTATAATAACTTAGTTTTGACTGAGAAATCCTATTTGAACTACTGAATGAGTAGTTCAAAGAGATTTAGTTAAAAGTAGTTTTGACCAAGACTGGTAGTTAAAATAACTTTTTACCAGGAGCATTTAGTAAAAAATGTGTATAATATTTAACAAAATGTTAATTGACAATCAATTTTAGTACAAACAAGTTTTTTCTTGATACTGATGATTGATACTTTGGCCATGTAGAAAGAATGAATGAGGAAAGAGTGACAAAGCAAATCTATGTTGCAGAGGTGAACGGCATAGTCAGGAAGGGTCGCCCTAGGCGAAAGTTTATCGACCAAATTGGCGATATATTAAAAATGGGCCATATCAAGAGTACCTTTAACCGACGAGCGTGTATGCGTAGGTATATGGATGTGGAGGAAGCGAGAGAGGTGTGTTAGGATCGTGCCAAATGGAAGTCCATAATCTCTGTCTACCCCTCTGGGTGACGGGCGTGAGTGTTTATGTGTGTGATGTATTATACGATTGTGATGATAACTAAATCAGATACATCTACTTGATCATATTGGGATGAGTAAAGTAGCGACAGTAGGGTTGAGGTGTGGCTGACAAAGCAGCAAACATTTGGTTTATCCTATGGGGTTTAGGAAAAACTAGCTTAGCCTAGGATAAACTAATCTGTCCTAAAATCCGATTTTCCAGGAACTAAATGCTTTTAATGCAAATTTACTTAAAACTAGATTTACAGATGACATATAACCCAAAGAACCTATCTTTACGTGGTAGAGCCATGCTGCAACTATATTAGTATAGTTGTAGCACAAATGGGTCGGCTCCACTGGGGAAGGACCACGCTCTCACAGATTACCAGCGTAAAATAGCAGCTTAACACTGTTGTGTTTCGTATGGTGAGTGTAGAGAACCGGCGACCCTTTTTGCTGGAAAAGAGGCATTCCATCTTAGTCCTCACGGGTGACGACGCATCTGCATATTGATACTTTATTGAGGATAAATGTAGATGTCTATGGGTCATAGTTACCACTTACCATCAGGTGGACTGTGTGTTCGTTTATCACCCTATCGTATAAAATAAAAATAAAAAAATAGAATCAACAACCGACGGGGAAGAAAGTGTAGGACCCCCACACTGAATGTAGTGACGACTTGGAAAAGATGCAGGAATTAAATGGATGTAGGTGACTCTCCTGAGTCCTCCTAAGCCTAAAAAGCATAAGACACGGTCCTCCGTGCCTTATGCTTTTTAGGCTTACATATGTTCAGTAGTGGACTTGTGAATGACTCTAATAATATTATAATACATCTTCCCAAAAATGTGCCTTACAACATTTTAAAGTTAAACAAATGTATGCAGATATAATGTGTTTGGTCTTTTTGTGCAGACTGTAGGGGACCATGATGAGTTTCTAAAACGGATCACTAAAACTCTCTACTATGGTGAGCTGCCTAATTTACCATGTCTGAGTCTTCCTGTCACTGGTAAGTGTCTAGTACAATTTCAACATAGGAACATCGATCAAGATATCTGATGATAAGAATGTTTTAAAATATTTTTGGATAAGATTTATATTTAGGAATGAAAATAAAAAAGCCATGGGTAACATAAACCATAAAATGTAGTTTACAATATCTATATGTTGATTGAATTTCTAAAATACTGGTTCATTAGACGACAAGACAATATAACTACATCATTATCACAAGTCCACTGCTGATCACAAAAGAATTTCTCAAAGCATGGTCCTGAGCCACCTGCATCCATCGACTTCCTGCATATCTTGTGGAGGCCAACATTTGTCTATGGCTCACATAAAGTGATTAATATATTCTGTAACAAATTACATATTAGTGTGACATTATCATCAATAACACCTAGCAATTAATTTATTCATTCTTATATGGTTCATAATTATTGACTCTGGATTTAGGAATCAAGGATTCTGGCCGCCGCTAGCTGTATCAATGATACCTCAGGGCTACAGGCACCCCGATCCTGTGTAAGAAAAAATGCGTAAAATGTCATCCATAATCCCACTTAAACTCATAGGCCGTACTTCCCGAGAAAAAAAAATATCATAAAAAAGTGCCAACGTTCCTAAAGAAATTTTCACTTTAAAAATTATAAAAGTCAAAAAAAGAATCTCTTTTTTTTCGCGGGCGCCCAAAAGTTGGCAACACAGAACGTCTTACGTCACGATTGATCCGCGACCACAGATTATTAAATACGAGACGAGACCCGTGTCAGTATACATCAGTTGAAAACGTCAAACGTCGAGTGGAAAAAAGGTGCTCGGATGGTGTGAGGTGTACAAGTGTCGTTCTGTTTTAGGCTATTTCGTACTTCTGAGAGCTGTTGATTTACTTTTTTGTTTACTATTTCTGGTGGTGTTGGTTTTAGTAGTTATAAATCCGTAAGTATTTAGTAATTGTGTTGTTGTATATATATGTAAGTAGTTAAAATAAAATGGAGGAAGATCCTCCCGATCCCGACGGGGTTACATGTGACTCCCATGCGGGTACCAAAAAGAAAAATATGCCTATCGAGATCGATCAGTCGAATCGTAAAAGATCGCAAGCAACCAATAACTCAGTTCATCCACAGAAAAGATTAATTACAGATCCATCTCAACCTGTACCATCTATTCAGACCTCTTATACTCATCCTGACTACATTGAAAAAAAACATAAATACTCTAATAACGACAGTGCGCCCTTTATTGTACATGTAAGTAAGATAGTAGATGATTTATCATCTGGAGTAGTTTTAAAACCGATAAAGTTTGGTCATTTTCTCTACCATAATAATATTAAAAATGTTGTTAGCGACGGTGTTAAGCGAGTAGGGCGCAATAGAATCTCAGTCGAATTTAAAAGTGCAGCAGATGCAAATTGCTTTATTGAGAACCCAGCCCTTGCAGGTGCTAAATATGATGCTGTAATCCCTTCTTATAGTATCACTCGCATGGGAATAGTGAGGCAGGTCCCTGTAGAATGGACATTAGAGGAACTCATTTCATCAATCGAGGTCCCAGCTGGTTTTGGCTCAATCATTAAAGCTCGCCGATTTAATAGAAAATCACTTAATGAAAACCAAAGCACTGTGTGGATTCCCTCTCAAACAGTCCTTTTAACTTTTTCCGGCCAGAAACTCCCTTCTAATATTTATTGTTTTTACAACTCAATGCCCGTTGAGCCCTACATTTTACCACTTATTCAATGTCACAAATGTTGCCGTTTTGGACATGTTACCTCACAGTGTAGATCATCTTCCCGTTGTTTTGTGTGTGCTCAAAATCATGAGGGTATATCATGCACAAGACAGTCTCCCACTTGCCTTTTTTGTTCAGGATCTCACACAGCTAAAGATCCCTCCTGCCCTGAACACTCTAGGCAGCGATCTATCAAACTCACAATGTCACAGGAAAATATTTCCTATCTAGAAGCATCTGCTCGTTTCCCTCAAGTCCGTAGATCCTATGCAGATACTGCTAGAACCCTTCCTTCATATGAGCATCAGACTTCCTGTCCTATTTCAAACCCTCCTTTACCTTCAGTTGTCCCCTCACAATCTCATTCTTACAGGAAGACTACATTCACTCCAAGACTTTCGCCAAATCCAGCATCTAGTCATGGATATGATAAATCTGCCCATGAGGCAATAATAAATACCCCCCCTTCTTCATCTACTAATGGTTGTGCTATAATAGGGCGAAGTATTTCCCCTAATGATAATCTCTGCGAACTGATGGTCTCCATGCTTATAAGTATGCTTTCCCGTTTCAGCGACATGGATCTCCCACTCGCCCTCCGCCAAAAACTTACTGAGCTCATTTCCTTAACAAATAACCTTCCCTCCAATACTTCAGTGGAACTGCCGGAGCATTAAAAATAAGAAAAACGAACTAACATATCTTATTAATAAATACCATCCCCTTATCCTAGCCATCCAGGAGACATGGCTAAAGCCTGGCTCCCATTTTAGGGTCTCAGGCTATTCATGTCTCAGGGATGATAGAAGTGATGGTCATGCTGGCTCTTTCATTCTTATCTCAAAATCAATTACTTATACATTAATTTCCCTTCCTTCTCATAGTCCTTCAATTAATGCTGTTGCAGTTAGAGCTCATAACATTTCTTTCCTTTCTATTTACATTCCCGAACCTAATCTAAATATCTTATCGGAACTTACGAGGATTATATCCTCCATCCCTCCTCCTATGGTAATTCTTGGTGATTTTAATATGCACCATACTTTATGGGGTTCCCATTTTTGTGATCCCTGGTCTTCTACATTCTTAGACATCATTGATGATTTAGATCTCTGCCTCCTTAACGATGGTTCACCTACACGTAGAGTTTCCCCCCTCCAAAATCCTAAAAGTGCAGTAGATCTGTCACTCTGTTCTCCTGCCCTGTCATCCCTTCTTTCTTGGAGAATATTACCCATTTCCCATGGCAGTGATCACTTTCCTATTGTTATCAATCCTCCTAACTCCTATACAGTCAATGTTCCATTCAAACCTAGGTTAAAATATAACACATCCAAAGCAAACTGGCATCTGTATTCCACAGTTCTAGACGAAGAACTTTCATCCCTCCCTACGGTTCAGAAAGAGAATGTTCTTCAGGTGTATTCTACTTTCAAAAATGCTATTTTATCTGCTGCAAATAAGACAATTCCCATTAAAAAACCTTATAAAAATAATGCTCCTTCACCGCCTTGGTGGGATCAAGATTGTTCTGTAGCATGCAAGAAGAGAAAGGAAGCTGAACTAAGATATTCCCGCTCAATGAATTTTGATAACTATATTTTTTATAAAAAAACTGCTGCTGAAACATTAAAATTACTGTCTGAAAAGAAAAAGGCTGGATGGCTTAAATTCTGTGAGTCACTGTCGCCTAGGACTCATCCATCACTGGTCTGGAAAAATATAAAAAAATTCCGATGTTCAGTTTCGGCCCCTGAAAACACAAATTCTAATGATCAGTCTTATTGGCTAGAAAATTTTGCTAGTAAACTTGCTCCTCCTTCAGTACCATCTTACAATGAATGTATAGTATTCCAATCACAGTCCCTGCACTATCAACACAGTTTTGACTCTCCTTTCTCTTATGAGGAGTTATATTCTGTTCTTAATGTCCTTAAAGACTCTTCACCAGGAATCGATGGAATCCCTTATTCTTTTATTACTAATAGCAGTGAATCTACTAAAGCCCATCTTCTTTCTATTTTGAATTATATTTACATGTCCGGTATTCCTCCTGAAGAGTGGAAATCCCAAGTTATCTTACCTATTCACAAACCAGGTAAGCCCTACACTGATCCCGCAAGCTACCGCCCTATTGCTCTTTCTTGCACCATGGCCAAAATCCTTGAACACCTAATAAAAAATCGTTTAGAATGGTTTCTTGAAAGCAAAAATCTTTTAGCAAAAAGCCAATTTGGATTCCGAAAGGGCTTAAGCACCATGGATAGCATTAGTACTCTAGTTACTGATATTCGTATAGCTTACTCTAAACATGAATACCTTGTTGGAGTCTTCCTAGATATCTCGTCTGCATATGACAATGTACTTCTTCCTGTGCTCAGGCAAAAAATGCTTAATCTGAGTATTCCAGTGAGGATAGTAAATTTTGTCTCTAACTTTCTCTCTTCTAGATCCATTTATATTGACAGTCAAAATTCTCTACTCCCGCCAAGAATTGTATGGAAGGGTCTCCCACAAGGCTCAGTACTTAGTCCTTTACTCTATTCTATCTATACTTATGATTTAGAACTTTCTGTTAACTCCTTCTGTAACATCCTCCAATATGCAGACGATATAGCTATATATATTTCCTTAGATAACCTCCTTGCAGCATGTTCTCGCTTGAATATATCAATGTCTTATTTACAGGATTGGTTAACTGATCATGGTTTGTCTTTGTCTGTTCCCAAAAGCAGTGTTGTAATCTTCTCTCGCCATAGGCAAGTCCCTGAAATCAACATTCTCTATAATAATGAACCTATCCCAATTAGGGAGAATGTAAAATTTTTAGGAGTTATTCTTGACTCCAAACTAGCCTTTTCTCATCACATCAACTATGTCTCAAAAAAATGTGAAAAAAATATAAACATTCTTCGCGCTTTATCGGGTGTCTGGTGGGGCTCCCACCCATTCTCCCAAAAAATACTGTACAACGCCATTATCCGTAGTCATTTAGATTATGGATGTTTTGTTTTGGAACCGTGCAATAAGTCTTCCCTAAAGATCCTAGACAGGATTCAATCCAAAAGCCTTCGTATAATCATCGGGGCAATGAAATCTTCCCCAATAAGTGCTCTCCAAGTTGAATGTGTGGACCCTCCCCTTTATCTAAGAAGGCAATATCTTTCGGACCGATACTTTTTTAAAATCTACCAACTCTCTTCCCACCCTCTCATTTCTAAACTACACCTCCTTTTGGAATATATTTCGTCAAAACATTACTGGACTCATAAAGAATCTCCCTGCTTATCCAACAGTTTGGTAACATTACTCCACCTACCATACCCAGTATCACAATTCAAGTCCTGCCCCATATTTGATATCCCATATGATGCAATCATTTTCCAACCAAATATCCACCTCGACCTTGGTATTGAGAAAGATTGCCCTATAGCAAATAGTAAAGTAAGTAGAGTCATAGATAATTTATGGAAAGGCTGGCTTATTATATACACTGATGCCTCCAAAAAGTCAGATGAAAGTTGTACTGGAGCAGCAGTTTGGATTCCCAGATTCAAAATAATTCTTAATTTTAAATGCCCTTCTATTTCTTCCACTTTTACTGGCGAGGCCACGGCAATTCATGAAGCTTTAATATATATAGAAGCACACAACTTAAATAAGTCAGTTATTCTTACCGACTCCAAAAGTTGTTTGTTAGCAATTTTGTCAAACCAATTCCAAAGTAAGTATAAGATACCCTTGATCCTCAAAATTAAACACACATTGTATAGATGTCATCTCAAGGGCATACAGGTTTCCTTAGCTTGGATTCCAGGTCATAGTGGCATCAAGGGCAATGAAACAGCTGATCTGATGGCTAAAAATGCCAGTCGAAATGGTTTGCCATGTAATTTAACTTACTCCTCAGACATAGTGTTACTTGCAAAGAAGAAGTTAAATAATAATTGGAATACATTATGAAAAGCCACTCAAAATATAAAAGGTAAACACTATGCTGCTATACAATGTGCCATCCTTCCAAAACCATGGTTTTTCAAATTCAATAAAGCTAATAAACATTCTACATCAACTATTTGTAGACTTAGAATTGGCCACGCTTGTACACCAGTACATTTGGCCAAACTGAGGATTAGGGATAGTTCCCTCTGCGAATGTGGGTTGGATGAGGGAACCTCCGACCATATTTTTTTTAACTGTCCTAAATTATCTTGTTCACTCTATGATTATCTCCCTCCTGACATCCCTCGTCCTATAAATTTTGATTCACTTTTAACCTACACAAACACTCCTTATGTATATATTCTGTGTGATTTTATTAACACTAATGGTATAAAAGTTTAATGTTTGTCAATACTAACATACTAATGTAGTTATAGCAACCGTGTTTGTCATTTGTTCTAGGTAATTCAACAGTATAACCATTAGTACTACAAGATAAAAGGGGAAAAAATTGGTTTAAAGGAAAAAAGATACTTGTACTATCACAATCTTCTCTTGTATATGGGCATAGTATTTGTAACTACTGAGCTTCTACTCAATAAACGCTTTCACGCTGACATTGGCGAATGATCAAAACCGCCATAAAAAAGAAAGAAGAAGAAGTATACATCAGTTATTGCGGGATTCCCCCGTTTAAATCTAGCCATATACATTCCGAATTCCGTTTCGAAAAGTCGTTTCGGAATATAGATTCGAAATTCCGTAAAAACACCACACACATGATTATTTTCCTTCGGAATAACAGGGCTCAGTTGAGAGACGCTATGCATTGAGTCCAGACATTCTGCCAGCGAATATGGACAACTTGTCGTGCGACACACTTGGGGGATGAAGCTCTGTAGGAATTACTTGAATCCTGATTCCCTACAAGTATCCCCTGGGTAGTGCTAAACGACCAGCACTACATACTGGTGGTAGGTTGGTCCTCTACTAGTGAGAGGCGCGGCCGAGGGTTAGTTACCACCCACCTGGCAAAGACATACCGCCAAATAATGCAAATCGTGTTCCGGTATGATGTTAGGTGAAACCCATTTCTTAGGCAGAATGGTTCTGGACAGTTGCGTTGCGCATACGAACCGGTTGCAACGTAGCCGTTTCTTAGTGACAGGTGCCTGGTTATGGAGCTTAATGAGCAAGCCACTCATGAAAGGCTACCCCGCCATCTTACAAAAAATCCTGGGATGGCTCCACCATGCTGGTTGGTGACAGGAGGAGAGGTTCTGGTGGCGATTTCCAGGGGGTTCGGGCGTCCTCGCGATCTCCATGCTAGGTACCATCGATGCTGTGACTCTGTTTGCGTCCCTAGATTATATGTGTGACGCCTCGTCCAACTGCCATTCTCTCAACCTATTCACTCCCACCATTTATGAAATAAAAGGAAAAAGAAGAATTAGTTTGTAAAACGGTTGCACTCCCAATCCATCAAAGTGCACCTCACAAACATCCGAGGTCTGCACTGTAATCTCAATGCAGTCCATTAGCACCTTGAGACTGACAAGCCGCACTTACTCTTCTTGACTGAGACGCAGATCAGATGTCCTCTAGATGCGGCGTACCTTGGCTATCCTGGGTACACACTGGAGCATAATTTCCATCAGCGCGCTGGAGTCTGTGTTTACGTCCGCAACGACATCTGCTGCTGTAAGCGTCTCCGTCACTTTGAAGACCCCACTTTCTTTACGATCTGGGTATTGATAGACACAGGAATAGATAAAATTATTTATTCTTGTGTCTACCGATCGCACAGTGGTGATCAGGAGACAACTAGGCTGTTTGAACACCTCAGTGAAGCCTCTGATGTGGCACTAAATCGGCCTGTCATCAGGACTGGCTGTTCCCATACCAGAAGACCGACCACGCTGGGAGAGAGGCGTGGAATTTTGCCTTGTCGCTGGGGCTCTCCCAGCTGGTACAATAAGCGACTAGGGTACCTGATGTGGATGGGCACACAGCCAACTGCCTCGACCTTCTGCTGACGACCGATCCAGACGGGTACGATGTTCAGGTTACCTCACCCTTGAGAACTTCTGACCACTGTCTAGTGAAATCTGTGTCATTATATTCGCCACCTAACTACGATTTCCACGGTGTGCGGCGAGTGTGGCGATACAAGTCAGCAGATTGTTATGAGATGCGGCTCAGCAGATTGTTATGAGATGCGGCATTTCTTTGCATCTTATCCTTGGCGGCAGGTCTGCTTCTCGTCTGAAGACCCGTCGAGCTGCGCGGATTCCATAAACGATGTGATACGTCAAGCGATGGATCCCCTTTGTTGACGTGCCCATTGGTGGTATAGCTCGCCCATGTTTCAACGCCGAGTGCGCTCATGCTGAAAAGCACAAGCATATTGCGTACTTATCCTGGGTCGATGCTCGATACCTCAAAGCTGCGGATGTTACCCTTAAGAAGAGAACCTTTAACCAAGCCGCCAAGTCCTCCAAAACGGCAAGTAATTTATCTAAAAACGAATCCATGATGTAGTTCAGGTTACAGCTTACAGTTTGACATTTAGTCTGGATGGAGCTAAATCTTTTGAAGCGAAAATTTCTTTAGGCACGATGGGCACTTTTTGGATGGGGAAAATGTAACGTGACCGTCACGTTTAGAAACATAAAATTGTTGAAAATCCAATTGTAAATGTATATTTCACGATGGCATTCTGTGAGTGAGTAGTTCTTCTATCGAGCCCTCGTTTGTTTTACCACGTTTAAATAGTCTTCGGATACAGGTCTCAGTTCGTCTGTCATGTCAGTTCTCTATAAAATGGTGAGTGGAATGTATAATGCAGAGATATCGTGCGAGATGTGGTCGGAGTGGCAGCGCGGGCGCTCGCTACGGCGGCTGCGTGCGGACGCTGCGGCCGGCATCTCGCGCGGCGCCTGCGTGTCTCCGTGCGCGCTCGTGCTGGCCATCCTCTACCTCGAGCGGCTCAAGACCTGCAACGGCGACTACCTCACCGCGGCCGAGCCAGCCGACCTCTTCCTGGTTTCCTTGGTGAGGCGGTTTTCACGGTGCATATTTTACTGTTTTTGTTAACCGTGTAGTGGGGATGTAAGAATATCCACTACTCCATATCGTCTAGTGGTTGTCCTCAGACGTGAATAAGGGAAACTGGAACAAAAGATGGGAAGTAGCATGTTCCTGATAACAACATAAAATTATAACAACTGCAGTTGCCAACTCGCCTGCCAAGTGTGGCAACTATGGTTGTAAGTGTAACTAATAGATAGCATATTAAAGTCCACTGCTGAACATAGGTCTCCACTATAGATTGCTACATAGGATTTTGCCATATTTGCTACACTTGGTAAGTGGGTTAGCAACGGCAATTTTGTTATTATTTTCTCAGGAAGATGCTGCTGCCCATCTCCTGTTTCAGTTACCCTCTGTCGCCTCTTACGAACCCACGGTAGGATATGGGGTAGCACATATTCTTACACCACCAATATACGGTTTCACAATAGATATTTTACTGATTTTCACCATTTTTGTCTATTTTTATGAATGACTGTGTATCTCAAATAAAAGCCTCTATATATCCAACTGTTAAGACAAGTATAGAATAATATCATTTTTATTCAATATAGATTAAAGTAATACTTATTGAAAGTATTTTTTTCTTTTAACATTGCTTCGCAAAAAACCTCTGTCCTAGAACAACCAGTCAGAAACCCAGCGAGACTTTTAAAGCACAATTTACAATATAATATTTTGTATAATTGTTTTTAAAACATTTAGAAACAGCATGGTAGATCAGTCATGTACTCTTTAGTAGTATAATAACCCTTACTTCATAATTTTACTCAATGAATATTATAAACCTTTTGATAGATAAGGTTTGCATATTTTCTGGGACTTTGTTGTAAAAGCGTATACATTGGCCCATGAAGGAATTACTGAATCTTTGGAGTTGAGTAACTGGTATAACTAACTTGTGCTTGTTCCTAGTATTTACAGAATGTACATCACTATTTTTAATAAAACTGTTTTTGTTTTTATGTACATACATTAAATTCTCGTAAATATATTGAGAGGTCAAAGTTAATATATTTATTTATTTAAATTTTTCTCGAGGGGATCATTCGGACCTAGGTTATAAATTGCTTTTATGGGTCTTTTTTGCAAAACAAAGATAGTTTCAATGTCAGTCGCATTACTCATTAACAAGCCCAGCTCCTCCACATTTAAAAGCACACTGGTATTCACCTGTTTAACATTAGTTGTGGTGAATTTAATACATTTCATTTTATTACCGTTCAAAAGAAAATTATTGACATTAAACCAGTGTATGACTTTTGATATAGCATTATTCACTTTGTCATTTGCCTTTTAAGTCGGAAAATCAACGAAGTATCAAAGTAAGTAAGTAAGTAAGTAATGATATAGCTTCCTGATTAATGTCTCATGGTGAACACAACCGAAAGCCTTGGAAAGGTCACAAAATATACTCAAAGCATCTGAATTTTCCTATGCACAGAAAATTTGTTTGATTAGCTCAACACCGGTATCAGTTGTCAAGCAACCCCTTCCTCCTAAATCCAAACTGATTGAGTAATTTATTTACATTATATATATATATATATATATACATATATATATATATATATATATATATATATATATATATATATATATATATATATATATATAAATAAATGCTATTGCAATGTAATGCATTCATTGAAGTTCATGGTGATCGCTTCATAGGCCTCCCCCAGGGAATGCCATACAGTCCTGAGCCACCTGCATCCATCGCCGTCTCTTATTATCATATAATATTTCTGTGATATATAGTCTCACTGGATTTCTTGCTAGTTCTTCTCAGGATAGAGGTTTTTTTTCCGAATCAGTGGTAAATAAAAAATGACTTTATCATATTAAAAACTTGTTAATAATCTGTTTATTTACACAGATGGTGAGCAACAAGTTTCTTCAAGATGATGGTGAAGATGATGAAGTGATTTGCTCTGAATGGGCAGCGTCTGGCGGCCTCGAGCTGGATCAGCTTAAGAAGCTTGAAGTAGAATTTCTGAATGCAATTGTGAGTATCCATCCATTGCATGTGCCATGCCTCTTGCCCTTTTGCCCCATAGATTTTGCCATAGTTGCCATTCTTAGCAGACTATTTAGTACTGCAGGTTCATCTAATTTTGAGCTGTTATCAGTAGGATGCTGCTGCCAATCTACTGTTTCACTTTCCCTCGCTCACATCTTATAACATACGCGGAACAATGCTATAGTGTAGTGGATATTCTTGCCCCCTCGTTTATAAAAAAAAACCGCCAATATATGGTGATTGTGAGTGTAACTTAAGGCAGCCAACCATGCAGCACAGTCCTCACAAAATTAAACACATTGTCTATTCCTTGTGAATGCTTATAAATACTAATAAATATGGATGTGTGTTTGTAAGCTATATATGTAATCGTTTTCACGCAATAAGAATAATACTGTCCTCTAGACCAAATTTCAGTCACAGTGGCCAGTCTTCAATGTACACTAGTCATCTGAGCAGGACAGGATTATCGTGCGCGAGTGTATGTGCAAGCACAGTTTTAATTATTTCTTCTCTCTCATAGCCACATGGTATAGTAACTCGACACGAACAGAGAGAGGTCAGGCGTAGGAGCAACGGTTTAATGTGTTTTCTGAGGCTGAATGAAACACGGCCTAATTCCTGACTCTACTAATGAGAATACATATACTACTCCACTACTGAGACTTGAGCCAGAGACGAAACGATCACTGGACCAACTAGACAGTCATGCAATAAATATGCATCGATTTTTGCAATGTTTTCTTCCACAATTTCAAAATTCTTGTTTACTTGAAATAAGTCATTGATGTTCTTTTTTTGTTACAGGATTGGAATGTGTATGTAAATGAAAAATCATTTGAGGCAGGACTTTTGTGGCTAGAACGGCAAGTGGCGCTCCGGCAAGCAAATCTGCGTGGTTTCTTTACATACACAGACTTAGCCGCTACATGTGATGGAGCGTTGTTGTCGGAACTTGTACGATCATTCTCAGCAGTATGTGCAGCCGCGACCCTCAGTTACCTCACTAGCCTCATCACATTGTTCACTTCTACCCTGGTCATATCACAAGCCTGGCTTCCATTGCTACAGTACATCGCTGCTCGTGGTGCTCTGTCAGCTATTGACACAAATATTATGGCTGAAAACATCAAACCCGAGCTAACTTCATGTGTTACAAATACTACAGTTGATCTCTTGTCGGATATTATCCTCACAGAGGAATCATCAGCGCCAGACATACCGAGGTGCTGCACAAAATGGTTACAATACCAAGACAGAATGGATACTAAAAAGAGTTGGTACGACAATGTTGTTGCTTACGACTGGAAATCCTTTGAACCTTGGTGGTCTAAAACTCCAATTCTAAATTGGTTGTACCACAGCTCTCTCATCAATCCAATGCAGAGATGGCTGGAAAAAGTTGATGAATATGCAGATTTATTTAAAAAGAAATTATTTAGTGTTGGAAGCTCAAAACCAGGAGTTTATTGTCATGAATATAGGAGAAGCGATGAGAAGCAACAGTGTATCCGGCAATGGCTTAACTTAAGTAGATTTAGCGTTCTAATGGCGTCTATTTCTGATCGATAGCCACTGTAGCATTTATAAATACTATTGGTCTTGAAAAAGAAAAACAATTTGCCAAGAAATGGAACAAATAATGCTTGTTGTCCCTATGTTAAATATGGAAATAATTTTATTGTAAACTTAAAACCTAATTGAAAAGCTCAAAATAATGTATTTTTACAGTTATTTTTAACGTTATCATACGTTTCTCATTGAAATAAAAAACAAACAAAAAAACTACTTCATAACAACTGCTTTCATTATAAGAATAACATTTCTATATTTTTGTATGTGATGTGACTAAATAATAAACTTTATTGCAGCACTGTTTTCTTTTTTAATATTAATAATTCCTTTAACTTCAATATATTTAAATGTTTTAACACACTTTTATTAGCTTGGTATGTATCTATGTATGTAACGGAATTTTTGAATGTGATTTTCATCCCTTTAAAACGTTGGATTGATTTAAAACTTCGATAGTTTGTCTCATTATCCTTGCCAGGATCCTCAGGATTTGCGAATAATTCACATAAAACAACAACGATTTCTGCCAGTTCAATCTACTGTAAGCTGTGTAAAAGAATATTGTTCCAAAAAAAAAACGACGCAAACCTTACGTGGGCCCCCATATAACTAAACTAACAAGCAGACTAGCTCCTCAGCTTATGTTGTAAATAAATAGAAATCCTGCTGGTTGGAACTACTACTGGAATCAGTATTACAGGTAAAAAAATATTAAATAAGAATTTGTATTTATAATCTAATATATAAAAATTAATGTTTGTTTGTTCGTATTTTATGTGTTGCCATACCGTTCATCAGATTGAGCTAAAACTTTGCCTAATTATTGCTTGCACTTGCGCGAAAGTTATAGGCATAGTACAATTAACTTATAGTAGGTAGGGCGCATATCGTATATACAAATTTATTTCAAAGTTAATATATCATACAACTTCAATGAATGCATTATCATACCTTATATACAATATGTAACAAAAACCCTGTGGTTCTCGTTAAGTACATTATCAGGATCATTATTCAAACGTACAGAAATAACTTTTTTTTAAAAACTTGAACAATTTTTTTTATTTTATTAAAAAAAATTATTGCATGTGGTTTTATTACCTCTGCATTGTCTGGAGAGTAAGAGGATTGTCAAAGACCCCGCTTTACTTAGATTTAACATCGTCTAGTATCAGTAGGAGGTAATAAAACCACATAAAATTAAAAAAAAAAAAAAAATTGAAATTGATTGAATACTGATCCTGATAACGTACTTAACGGGAACCACAGGGTTTTTGTTACATGTTGTCATAACTTCCCAATATTTCTTTTGTGGCAGCAACATACCGGATATCAACTAGTCTATTGAATAAAAAATCATTCTATTCTAATGTGACAATCAAGCTTACACTTTATCTGATGGTAAATAGCTACAGCAGTCCATTAACACCTGCAATCATCAATAACGTCAAATTTTTCTGCCACCAGGGCGGCGCCACTTTACAACAAAGCAAAATATTTGACAGATTTCACGGTGGGAAGTAAAACTGTTAGAAAAGTGCAAAGAATAATGATTCTAAAATATTAGTCATATTTTTAATGAGTAGATTAGAATTGCGTGGTAGAACCACGATGCAGCTATTTTATGGTTGTAGCACGCTGTGCTTCTTATGGTGAGTGTAGAGAACCCTTCACCCTTGTAACTGGGAACAAGGCATTCCATGTTAGTTCTTAGGGGTGACAACGCAGCTGCATTTTGATTTTTAATCAAGGGTACATGTAGTTTTGATTAATAGGTTGACTGTATGCTCGTTTGTCACCATTATTCTATAAACAAAAAAATGGATAATCCAAACTACGGATATTTCTGTATAAAAATTAATAAGCACATTATTTAGGTATGGTTTATTGTAAATACATTTACTACTATCTTACTCGATACACAACTTTTTAATAATATGGTTTGTGATAAATAACTTCACCTCAGTCCCAATTAGCGACATCTGGTGGGCGGAAGATTTTTAGCCCTCTTTATGATGGCTTCCATAGATAATATACCATATATAGGCCAATTGCTTCTTTACTGAAACCGGCATAAACAGTGCTTCATTGTGTTTGACTGAAAAAGTACCTATGTAAAAAAGGTGTCATCTTGTTCATAATATGCCTTTAAATCAACTTTGTACCTCATACTTTTTCAATATTAATAAAACAAGTGCATTATTGGTTATATTATAAAATTTATTAGAAAAAAAATACATATAAAATATTGATTATGTATAAACATTGAGCAATAACTTAAATTACATTATTACTTATTTATAAAAATTACATAAATAATACAAATAAGACATCTACTTATCAAAGATCTCATTATTACAAGAGTAAAAATGCATTATTGATCGTAATTTGACACTAGGTACATCATTATTATATGGACTTGGAGTTTACATTTTAAGCAACTTGTGTATTCCAAAGACAAAATATTTCTTAAAATTGTTTCGGTTCATACTATTTTATGAATTTTTAGTAATGCCAGTATTTATGTATATAAACCAAACACATGTCTTAGATCTTAGTCATTGCTTGGTAACTATTTAAAACTAATTTTATCACAGTTTCATATCGTAATCTAAGTTTCTTCCCAACATTTGCACTACTTGAGATTAAAGTATATTTATTTGTAATTTTATTCGTTAAATATAACTTTTTTATTATTCAAGTTAAGTTAAAAAATTCAAGTGTGTGTGTCACAGTACATATTGTATAAAATAAGCCAAAATTATATTTTAGTTAACAATTAAATCTACACGTTTTCATAAAAAATTACACAATATTACAAATTTCGCTATTAACTCAAATTGACCCCTATTGCACAATAATAGCAATGATTCACTATTTTCATTAGATACAACAATAAATTATAACATTTTGAAAATTACTTCAAACACATAACATTATAAAATAATTGGTCACTCAGGCTTTCATACATCTTTTTATATCTAAGATGCTTTTATATGAATATTAGTATTTTGTTTCGAACGGCCATTAGTTCTGCTGTAAGCCATGTCAAAGTTATCCATTAATTATTAACAACATGAATTCTGCATGATTTCAACCTTCTGACATCTTTGCCAGCTACAAAGCCGGATACCACCAACCGCTATTCATGGCTTTCATACTTTTAATAATGAATGTATAACACTTAACATAGAATAAATATTTTGAATTTGTAGTCCAAACACAACTAGACCTAAATTTGCAGGAGACAGTATGGGGTTCGATCGTAGCACAATTTATTTTTAAGCAACGAAAGTTAAAGATCTGCGTGAGCTATTAATGGACACTAATTCCTTTAAAGTCTTAAGAATTTAAAATAATTTTAAACGTGGTAGAGCCATGCTGCAGTTATATTAGTAGTATATTTGTAGCACGAATGTGTTGGCACGACCGGGGAAGGACCACGCTCTAACAGAATACCAGCGTAAAATAGCAGCTTAACACTGCTGTGTTTCGTATGGTGAGTGTAGAGAACCGGAGACCCTTTTTACTGGAAAAGAGGCATTCCATCTTAGTCCTCACGGGTGACAACGCATCTGCATTTTGATTCGCAAACGAGGATAGATGTAGATGTCTATGAGCCGCAGCAACCACTTACCATCTAGTGGACTGTGTGCTCGTTTGTCACCCATATCTTATAAAAAAAAATGTTCGCCTTTTTGTTTTACATCTTCGACAGCCCTTTGAATATCTGTTAAAGACTACGATGGTCTTTTTTTCTTTTCTTATAATTTCTAAGCATGTGTACCTTAAAAAAAAAACTTTCTAATTAACCATCACCTAGAATACACAAACCGTGTAGAATATCTACTACCCCATATCATTTCGTGGGTGTCGTAAGAGACGACAGAGGGAAACAATTCAGGAGATGGGCAGCAGCATCTTCTTAATAACGATTAAAAACAAAAAACTGCGGTTGCCAACCCGCTTGCAAAGCGTGGTATCTATGACAAATATCCTCCCTGTGAGGCAATCTATGGGGGAGGCCTATGTTCAGTAGTGGACTTTAATAGGCTATGACGATAGAATACACAGTTAGTTACATTATTTACAAATCCCCGACGAATGGCTTTGCAAATTGCATGCGTTGGGGTATCACAGAACTCACATAGTAGCGAAAATATGGTCGATCATAGTCAGAATAAGTAGTTTATCTAAGTAACTTACTTATAATTTCAGAATGTATTTTTTTACTCTTTATTAACAGTTCTTAGTAATCACGGAAAGTTCGTGGTGACGTAGGAATGAGAACAGATGCAAAGTAATACGGACACTCGCGCGCGGCGATAAAGTTTTATTTAGCTTGCGTGCGCGATTTGTCTGATTAATAATAACTATGTAGGCTATTAAAACGTCGGCAAGCAGTCAACATCAAAGGAGTGCAACTTCTGTACGTAGTACTATTATTTATTCTGTGCTACAACCATAATATAGCTGAAGCGTGGCTTTACGACGTCAAAGCAACTTAATGTCACACAAAAAAATTCTACGTTTTCGAGAGAGAAAACCTTAAAATGATCAATGTACATACTGCAAATTGACTAAGGTAGGTCTTCACGTCACTAGTTCTAGTAGCGACCTGGATTTTTGGAGGGTAGAGGTGTGAGGATGGAAGTTGGTTGTCGGTCAGTCTTCGTAGAGTCCCGGGTGCAGGTAGAGGCGTCGGTTGAAGCCCCACTTTTCGACGGAGGAAGTCTGCACGGCGAACTCGCGGTGCATGCGCTCGTCCACGAGGGTCAACAGCTTCTCCACGTGGCAGTCGTGCGCCCGCGCCGCGAACACCTCGCACAGAGCCTGGATGTACCACGAGCCCTTCTCCGGGTCTCGGTGGGATACATAGCCTGCCAATGTTTAAAATTACAGTGTTAAAGGCTATTAGGCTATTTCCAGAAAAACTCATTCAAAGGGATTATATGAACTTAGAGGGTTGTATTGGTGATTTTGATGATAATACGAGTAATTCTGTAAACATATACTTGTTACGGTCGCGAATTATATTTTGTTAAACATACAACCTGACCCTGACCTGCAAATTCCAAAAAACCTAAGAAAATTTGAATTTCTGAAATGTTTAATATCTCTATATATAAAAATCAATTGTTGTCCGTTAATCTTGCTAAAACTCTGAAATAACTCAACCTATTTTGATGTTTTTGTGTGTTTGAGTGGTTCCTGGATGGTTTAGATCCACAATTGGACCCGGTAGGTGGCGCTGTTGTCGAGATCAAGAAATCACTCGTGGCAGACACGATTATAGTGTCCGAGTGTATATACATAAGCACAAGTGAACTCTGTATTCCGATAGTCCAATGGGGCGGTAATCCGACACTATCAAAGAGAGATCAGGCACACGACCTACGCCATTACGTGCTTTCCCAGGCACGGTGCTTCCTGACTCCGGGCTGCTAGTGAGAATTTCATGACAGGAAAATCCATTTTGGCCCGACTCGAGATTCGAACCCAACCCCAAAACCAACGAAGCAGTGGAAATTTGATTGAATTCTTAATTGTTTTGTTGTTATTGCATTTAAATGTAATTTGAGGGGAGAGAGACAAATTACAATATTTATGTAAGACTATCGAGTACTAAGTACACATGGAATAGATTTTACGGATTTTATCGACCGTTGTCGAAAAAATTGTCACCATGGTTGAAAGTAATACAAAGTAAGCAAAGAATTCTATGTATATTACTAGAAGGGCTCTGCGGCATTAATACATTGCGTACTAAGTTACGGTCAATTCTCCGTAATCTTTTAGTTGACTGCGAGCGCCCGAGAAGACTAGTTTTTTGTCTAAGAAAACGCTGTCATTATCCATGTGCGCACTTTATCAACGTGATTTATTCTGTCTAATAATTATGTAACGTTATTTCGTATTTGCCTAAAACTAGTAACTGTTGTAAATGAAAAAATAAATGCCATCTTGTGCAGCATGTTAATCGTGCCAGCTACCTACCCGCGTAATCCACAGCTGTGATACAGTTCTTGTTCTGAATTACCGATCGAGTATTACATATAGAAGTGTTTGAATGTGAGAGCTCACCGGGTACGGTGGAGTGAGCTATGATGATGTCGGAGTAGACGCGGTCCAGCTGCAGGTCCCGGCGCTCCGCCCAGCGTGCGCCGTCGCTCTCCACGCCGCCGGGGGCGTGCGGGGGGCGCCCCGCCGCCCGGCCCTCGCCCTCTCCCCCCTCGCCCGCCCGCCGCCACTGCGGCACCATCACCCATTCCTCGTTGCGCCCCCTGCACACGCAACACAGTGTGGCCGGTCATCAACAGCTACTTCACACCACTTAAAGCTCATTTACGCGTGTCACATAGTCAAGTCAAAAACAAAATGTTAACTTAAAAATTATGTTACTAATAAGTTATTTAAGTTAAAACTTAGCTTGCAAGTGAACAAGTAGAATACATTTTTTTTGTATTTTTTGGTTAAGTTGGTGGACTTGGCTAATTACATGACTTAGCACATACATAATTTAGCTAAATGCATATGTATGGCAGCAGGAGCACCGCGTTTAGTGTTTGAAGATTTATAAAAAACATCGAAGCGGACAAACGATACATGTAGTATGTATCGTTTGTCAGCTAGAAAAGTTTGTTGAAAAATATTTAAATAAAAAAAAAATAATTTGAGTAACGAGAATTGTTTACACAAAATATAATTTTAAATTTAGTTAGAATATAAATTGCAGTAATCTATGATTAGTATTTTATGTTCAACTTTAGCTAACAAGTACTAATACTCTTTTTTATCTTTCATTCAACATACAATTCATCAAATCGAAATTGCACTTGCACCAAATCCATCTTCTCACTCAGTCTTTTAGGTATATTCCCTTTTCCATTTCACTCTTAATTTCATCCAAAATCTCACTTAATACATTTCCACAACGACACTTGTACACAACAATAGACTGGCTTATCACAGTAACTTGAGATTGAATGGCCTTAGTGATTTCAAAAATCGAATAACTAATAACAAAATAATTTAATATCAACTTTGATGAAGTGGTGAAAATGCCGTTTACAAATACAATCTTATTGAATTGCAAAATAATTTGGAAACTTTTCTATTTAAAATGACAATTTCATACAAAGTATATTAGTATAATATCTATTATATCAATTCTTTTATTATAAGAGTGACCTGACAGAGAGTGGATGTTATGACCCAACATCTATTTTTTAAAAAAAAATACTAGTAATGCTATTAAACATTACTAATATTCGCTTTAACCACTTCTGGTAAGCTTAAAATGCTTGTGTTAGAAGTAGTTCACGACAGTAGTCGAATGGTGGGTTCACGACCTTTCGAGTTTGCGGTCCGCGCCCTGCCATTAGGCTACTGACGCTTATCAATTAAAGTTAAAATGCAGATCCATTGTTACCCCTGAGGAAAAAACTGGAAAGGTTTGTTACCATTTATGATTCTTGTGTGCGTGGTCCTTCCCCGGTTGCGCCGACTCATTCACGCTACAGCCATAATATGATGCAAAGTGGATCTACCACATATTAAACGTATATCTTATCTATATCTTAATATAATATTTGAAATTTGTTCGTGCGGTAAAAAAACAAGTACTTAAAATAATATTTAAAATTACAAAAAAATCAGTTCCTAATTTCCCAGTCACGCTTGCTTAGATACGAAATACAACTCATTCTGATGTCATCGATCCACTATATAGAAGTATATGGAATGGCTCGCTCACCGGCACAGCTGCGAGATGAACACCTTGGGGACGCCGCGCAACGCTGGGAAGTTGGCGTTGCTAAAGCGGTCCACGATGTCCAGGAATGAGATGAGGTTGCCGTCGGAACAGCGGATGTCGGTATCGGAGGAGCGCGGCGCGCGTTCGTATCCGTGCGAGGAGACCACGATGAACACGCACTCCGTACCCACCAGTACCTCCCCCAGGCGCTTCAGCGTCCCCTCCGTCTCCTGCATGTCGATACTCAAATCAAACTCTAGACCTTCACCTTCTTTTTCATCAGTTTCCATCCCAGAGCTTATAGAAATAACACAAAAAGAATTAAAAATATATGGAAAATCTAAAAGTGCACACCTCAATGCCCCATTTGATTATTAGTTGAAGATGTAGGTGTCTTACGGCCTTATTCTATATAAAAAAATAAAACAAAATATTTTCCAAATGTACATCGATTTGGTTGATATCTCTCAAACTAATAATAATTTAAAGATTTCATTAATGCATTGGGGTCATCAAAAAAGAAAATGCTTTAAAAGCTTTTGGTATGATAGCTTTTTGTAATTATGTTAACACGCACGCCCCCGCCCCCAGATCAACTGACGTAACAGTAAGTATAATTAAATCACTTTTTTTACATACATAAGAGTCTCTCAATCTAAGTACAAATGAACAATATTAAAAGAAATATTAATATATTTCTTTTAATATAATAAATTTAATATAAGAATCGGCAAGAACCTGACGCTATTTCTTATAACAAGGTATTAGTTTGGTCTTATCTCATACGTACTGGCTTAGTGAGATCTTGGTAGGCAATGACAGAGAAGCCGATCTCGTGAAACAAGTACTTGAGCTTCTTGCAGTCGATATCGACTCCCTTGCGATACTTCTCTATGTCATTACAGAACTGGATATAACTGAAAATTACCAAGATGCCGCGCTGCCGTCCCCTTGTTTTATACAGCTTTATATCTGCAAATTAAAAACAGGCACTTACAGGAAAAGTTTTCAAGTAACATCAGTTGAAAATACAAAACAGAATGCTGCTTTTAAAAGGTAAGTTATGATAACATAATATGAACTTGAACCTTAGTCATAAGATATAGTACAAGTAAGGTTGTGTGTAAATAACAAAAGTGTAACACTTGTGTATTATTCAACACTTTCGTTGGAAGTACTATATATTCAAGTCTAAAATGATCTCTTTACAACTTAGGCCTAATACTAAATCTTTCCAGTGAATATAAAAGTGTATTTACAGCCTATATACGTCCCACTCCTGGTCAGACCTGCACGGACACTCTTAGTTCTGTTAGGGTTTTAGGGTAAGAACTCCGCCATTGCCGATCCCAAGCTCGGATGATAAAGGAGAAGTGGTGGTTCCGCCGGAGAGAGTGGGTGTATCCGGTGGACTAACACACCCAACCTGCGCTAGGACCTGCGCAGTCGAGCGCCGTACGCGAGGATGAAGGAGTTCTGTAGGGTTGAGCCGATCGTTACTGGGGTATATAGTGGCGAGAGGCAACACGCCCTCTTTGGTCCGGATTTCAAGCTAAACGGTAGCCCTATCTGCTAGCCACAGATAGGGAAATGTCCAAGCGTCCCGCCAGAGGGTCGCAGGCGAGGGACGTGGGGGCTGCCTAGTTTTCCTGAAAAAGGGCTAGGGGGTGGTAAAGGCCATGCTGACGGAGCAAGTAACGGTTTATTCGGGTAGTGGGGATGGGCCTTTTTAGCCCTATCTACCAGCTGGAGCGAGCTTCCGATGTCGCGCTGTGAGCCAACTTCGCGTCCCTATATTCCCCCGGTAATCCCAACGCCTGAAATTCTTCTTAAAGTAGGGCGTTCCCAAAGGTTCATGCTCCATGGAGGGTGGAAAGCCGGAGGGACGAATTTTAAACACAAAAAATAAATATGGACAACTTTAGACCCAGTAGGAAAGAGGTATCAGAGGTGCTTACCAGATACACCAATGAACAAGGTTATGGTTATGGTTATAGTTTGTAGCACGAATGGGTCGGCTTGACCGGGGAAGGACCACACTCTCACAGAATACCAGCGCAAAATAGCAGCTTAACGCTGCTGTGTTTCGTATGGTGAGTGTAGAGAACCAGAGACACTTTTTACTCGAAACGAGGCATTTCACCTTAGTCCTCACGGGTGACAACGCATATGCATTTTGATTCCTAATCGAAGATAGATGTAGATGTCTATGTACCACAGCAAACACTCACCATCAGGTAGACTGTTTGCTCGTTTGTCACCCTTATCCTATAAAAAAGGGGGGGAACCGCCATTAAACCGACGGTTCCACGGACTGTACGATCCAGCGTAGGTGCCCCCACCAAGGGGACAACTTCCGCGCTGGACGTGATTTGGGTGTGAACTTTACGTGTGCGCGTTCAGGTCACATAACAAAGGAAGTAGCTGACGACATCCTCGTGAAGAAGATGATCAGCGAGGCCTGGAGTAGCCAGGACTCTGATGTGTTGGGCAAAGTTTTTAGAGGCAAACCCGTTTACACGGAGGATGTCCTGAAGCTGTGGTACGACGATCAGAAGGCTCTGGACTGGTTGAAAGAGAATATTGCTACCCTTAACCTTAAACTAAACACCTCGCTGATCATAAAGAAATAGTCGGGAATACTACAGAGTCAAATGTGGTATCCTTATCCCTGATGCCCAAAGAGTCACGCGACATTGGTCGTGTGCTGGCGTACCAGAACCGCTGGGTAAACATCAGGGACTGGCTGCTACTCAAGACAGATAAGCAGACGGACGGGTGTTTCCTCGTTGTTTCGGTGCCGGAGGATCATATCCCGACCCTGATGAAAGCCGGACGCCGTCTCGCATGTGTATGCGGGGCGGTATACGTAAAATTCCAGGGTCGTGGCGGTAAATTCCTTGACACTCCACCAAGCAGAGGCAGTAACAACCCGGAAGTCATGGATACCGCGTCGGCTCAATTACGCAAGTGGTTGGAGGCTCAAAGGACGGCCGTGAATTGGGCATGTTAAAATCAAAGACCTAAACAACCTAAAAGGAAGGCTATTCTACAGCTCTGAACACGACAAGTCTAGGGCGTCTATTTACACTACTAAAGAACCATTAACAGATTTCTGTTCCAGAGACATGTATGCCGTGGCAATACAATATATACAGGAGGGAAGACTAGTCGTCGCCTCGGTCCATATGCCGGAAGAAGACACTCCTCCCCCTCATGACCTCTTCAGGCTGGTGAATTTCTGCGAGAGGACCGGACTAGAGGTTGTGATCGGGATGGACTCCAACGCGCATCATCCCCTCTAGGGAATGGAAAAATCGAATGAACGAGGTAAGGTGTTACTTGAATATCTATTTAGCACTAACCTACATTTTAAATACAGGTTCTGAACCAGCTTTCATAAACAAACGTTGTCGCACAATAATTGACCTCACACTTGTAAAGAAGGAGCAGCCAAACTAATTACGGGATGGCATGTGTCGAAAGAGGCCTCATGCTCAGACCATAGATTGATCTGCTTCGTACTACGAATCGGTCGATATCCCCACTACATCACCATGGAGAAATCCCCGCAAGACGGATAAAACAAAATACCTTAATAGACTAATGTCTTCGCTCTCGGGTTTCGAGGGGACAAATATTATAGCAAATCGGTCGCTCCTAGAACAGGTAGCAGTTGTTACTAAAGCCATGATGGATAGGTACCATGAATCATGTCCAGAAATCACTTCACCAAGGCATGCCGAGGTAAACCAACCGTGGTGGGGTAAAGAACTAGATAGAAGCTGCCGCGAAGAGTCACGCGGTAGCCTTTGCTGTTGCACGTATGGGTAGGCTCGAACCAGGGTAGTACCACGACCTCACAGAAAACCAAAGTAGAAGTTCTGCCTCTGCATTTCGTCTGGTGAGTGCAGGTGGCCGGAGGCCCAATCCCCCCCCCCCCCATAACATGGTAGCGGAGTTAAATAAAATACTACCCCAGGAGGGTACTAGCAACCCTGGTGAGGGAGAATCCCTCGCTGAGCATACACGCTCAAGCTACCCTACTCTTTCTGAGCGTGGGTACTGATAGGTCCCATAGAGGCAATGCAGACACAGACCGACTCATCGACCACGTCCAAATGGCTGCAGACTCCGTGCTACAAGAGGTCCCATCCGCAGAGATCGTGATGCTTGGTGATTTAACGCCTACCACGCTGAATGGCTTGATTCTCGTTTAACCGATCTGTTTATGACTTTGGCATAGGTCTGACACAACTGGTTACCTCGCCTACGCGGATCCCGGATGTGGAAGACCATGTATCTTCCCTGTTGAACCTTCTGCTGACCTTTCATCCGGACGGATATCAGTTCTCCGTCGATGGCCCCCTTGGCTCCTCGGACCATTGTCTGATCCGGAGTACGGTGCCACTCACGCTCCCATTACGGTTGCGTTTTGCAGGTTGCCGCCGTGTTTGGCATTATAGGTCAGCCGATTGAGACGGGATGCGATCTTTTTATGCATCCCACGCTTGGAGGCGGGTTTGATTCTTGCCGGATGATTCCAGCGCTATTGCTGATTCTGTCGCTGATATGGTACTACACGGAATGGAACTATTTATTTCATCATCTGTGGTACCTATCGGAGGCAGAACCTAGCCACGGTTTGGTCGCTCCTGCGAAATTGCATTACGCCATAAGCAAGAGTGCTAACAGGCCTGGGCTCATTCATCGACGTCTAGGGATGCAAATACCAACGCTCTTGAAAAGGTCGCCTCCAGGTCCTTCATTGTCAAGGCAAAGTAAGAGCACATCGTCAGAATTAGCGAAAAACTAGTTCGTCTTCCTTCGGGAATACTTCCATTCTGGTCTCTCGCCAAGGCTGTCCAAGGGTACTTCTGGCAGCCGTCTCTCCCCTCTCTGCACAGGGAGGACGACTCACTAGCCCATGCCGCAAAGAACAAAGCCGATCTGCTGGGCTCTCTCTTTGCGTCCAATTCGACTCTTGATGACGGGGGGAACACACCGCCGACCATCTCGCGTTGTGAGTGCTCCATGCAGGATGTGCTGTATACCCAACGCTCGGTGCGCAGAGCATTCCTCTCCCTGGACGTCAACAAGTCGAGTAGGCCTGATGCCGTCCCTACTATTGTGCTGAAGACGTGTGCTCCAGAGTTGGCATCGGTTTTAACGCGTCTTTTCCGGTACTCCTACTCCCTACGCGTAGTCCCAAAATAATGGAAGACAGCTTTCGTGCACCCAATCCCTAAAAAAGGTAACCGCTCTGATCCGTTCAACTAAAGGCCTATCGCCATCACCTCCTTGTTCTCTAAAATAATGTAGTCCATTATTAACAGCCAGTTCATGCAGTACCTTGAGGATCACCGGCTGACTAGTGACAGTCAGTATGGTTTCCGTTGCGGTCGCTCGGCTGGTGATCTTCTGGGTTACCTAACTCAAAAATAAATGGGCGGAGGCAGTAGACTCCAAGGGGGAGGCGTTGGCCGTTAGTTTGGACATAACGAAGGCCTTCGATCGGGTTTGGCACAAAGCGCTTCTTACAAAGCTTCGTTCCTATGGGCATCCCGAAAAATTGTACAACTGCGTCACCAGTTTTCTTGCAGATCGGATCATCACGGTTGTAGTAGACGGTGCATGCTCCGATTACAAGCCCTTTAACGCTGGTGTTCCACAAGGCTGCGTGCTTATCGCCAACGCTGTTTCTTCTGCATATAAATGACATGTTGAAAACCGGTATTATTCATTGCTATGCGGATGACAGCACTCGTGATGATATACCGGCCGTGCCAATATTTCTCGGGAAATCGTTACCGAGTACCGGGACAAACTTGTCTGAAGTCGAGACTTTATTGAACACAAAGTCTCGGACTGGGGGTGACTAAATCTAGTACTGTTCAATCCCCAGAAGATACAAGTTTGCGCGATATCCGCTAAAAAGAACCCCTTTGTCGTATCTCCTCAGATTCAAGGCACTCCCCTTGTTGCTTCAGCCAGTATGGGAATTCTCGGCGTCGACATATCGAGTGACAAGCAGTTTCTTGGTCACTTGGAAGAGAAGGACAAATTGGGCTCTAAGAAGCTTGGTGTGCTCAGCAGAGCGAGACAGTATTTCATGCCGGCATACCGCCTGCAACAACAAGGCACAGGTTCGGCCGCACATGCAATAATGTTCCCATGTCTGGGCTGGGGCTCCCCAGTGCCAGCTCCTTCCATTTGACAGCATCCAGCGCAGGGCTGTTCGGATCGTCGGCGGCCGAACGCTTTCCTCTTTCCAATCGGCTTGACTCACTGGCACTGCGAAAATATGTTGCATCTCTTTGTGTATTTTATCGCATTTAACACGGGGAGTGCTCTGAGGAATTGTTCGGACTAATTCCAGCCGCTCAATTTCACCATCGCACATCGCGATAAAACTCGCGCTACCATCCATACCATCTGGATGACTGGCGGTCCACCACAGTGCGATTTAAAAGAAGTTTTCTTCCTCACACAACTTCCTTGTGGAATCGACTATCACCAGCGATTTTTCCGGAACGATACGACTTAGGGACCTTCAAGAAAAGAGCCTACTCCTTTTTAAAAGGCCGGCAACGCATCTGCAATTCTCCTGGTGTTGCAGTTGTTCATGGGCGGCGGTAATCACTTACCATCAGGTGAGCCGTATGCTCGTTTGCCCCCTCTGCTTTAAAAAAAAAGGAAGAAGGTAAGAATAGCCCTAAATCGGGCCATGAATACCTTAATGGATGAAGACTGGCTACTATACAAGAAAGCTAAGTCCGAATATCGAAATGTATCAGGCATCGAAGAAGCTCGGCAGGGTGGCGTAAATTCTGTGGTAACATAGAAACCTGCGAACAAGCAAATAGGATAAGGAATATCCTATCTAAACAGAACACGTCTATCTCTCTAAAGAAACCCGACGGAAGCTACTCAACATCGCCGGATGCAGTCGGACGCATCCTAATTCAAACGCACTTCCCAGGTTGCTGCGTAACTCAGGAGGTAAACCGGCATGAAGATACACTGACATCAACACCAGTAGACTGGAATTTAGCACAGAGAGTGGTAACGATGGATAAAATCCATTAGGCTATTCACATTTTCGTCCCCTATAAGGCGGTAGGACCTGAGGGCATATTCCCGGCACTCCTATAGTGGGGGGGGGGGGGTAAAGATGGTGTAAAATGCTTATGTTACAGTATTTTCCAGTTTTTAATTAGCAACATCTTCCTGATAACAACTCAAAATATTATTAAACTGAGGTAGTCAACCCGCTTGTCAGGTGTGGCAACTATGGCAAATTATGGGCCCCTTTGAGGTAATTTAACCTATGCTCAGCAGTAGACTTGTGATGGGCTGTAATGAATGACAGAAACCAGAAGTAACAATTTCATAATAATTTCATGTGTTTACATAAACACTACACATTTAAATGAAACTAGTTTTAAACAGATTTTATCGTGTATATATTTACAATTTCACTTTAACTGCACTTTTTTGTACGCCATACAGTGACAATGCCTATTATAGCTTTGATTCAACTTTGAAGAAAATGCATGAACTGAATTGGTGAAACGTGTTTTTATGAGTACTAACCTTTGTCCTCATTGTCCTCAAAGAACTTAGTAGACTTAACTACGTGGAAGTATGGAATGTCACCGGATGGGTCCATTGTATCTTTATTACTTTCTGGTGGTGCAGTTTCTGTCTGATCAGAATTAGATTGGACTTGTAACAGAATAAAACAATTTTATAAATATCATTACTAAACCATAGTCAATAAATTAAATAGTTATTTGTCAATATCCTCACTTTTATTGACTTCTACATTTGATTTGGTTCTCTTCTTCTCTGTCCGTATACTAACATAACTGTTCTCTCCTGATTTTGTATCTGAAAAGGGAAATACACACATGTATAACTAAAATATTACACACTACTGCTAAATTTACCAACACTATGTACTGGCCGGGTAAGAGGTTCCACTATCCTATATCTATATCGGTAGCGAAGCCTCCATAGAAGCGGAGAAGCCGGGCTTGCCCTATCAAACTGCTCAATCAATAACATCAACTAATAAAATAACTCGTAAACTGTTTCAAACTATTTCAAATTACCCGCGCGTTCCTCTGTTCTACGCAGGTCATGACCTCGTAGCCTTATTATGTAACGTCAACACTTGTCAGATTGCTTTGATTGGACCCCGTTCGCGGCAAAACTGCACGATAATGCTGTCATAAAAAAGAAGTTGAGTTGAGCGATTAGTCATCTCTCGCACGAGTGGGCTTTTTAACGGGCTTTCGAGAAGACGATCGCTTCCTTTCTAACCTGTGGCAAAATGTTCTATAATGAAATATAACTAAGATTGTTTATGTAGCAATTAGTATGGAGCCATAAGCTGGGCTTTTGGTGTGAAGTTAGGGGCGCGTGGGCGATACGTTTGCAAGTTCACTTCATATTTCAATGTTTACTCTGTGTGTTTACTTGAGCGAATGAATATTGCGTGTTGAAAATTTATGCTTTTTTAAAGATTTTTAGTGAAAATGGAGGATAATAGTGTTCCTTGTGATTAATTAAAGTGTGTTAAAGTGCTAATCGGCGAGGAAAATGTAAAATCTTTAAAATTTTGTTGAAAAAAAACAGCTCATATCCACGCCGAAACCAACGCCTGATCTGGGTATTTCTCAGACGAGTAAAACCCACAAACGTTGTATTGTTGGTGCTGCATATTCTTTTCCAACGACAAAACAGTTTGGAATACTACTGAATATGATGATTTAAATAACTTATTTGGAGCCATTAAAAGGCATATGTATTCTCAAAAACACATGAATGCGGTAGTTTCATTTAGTAATTTCGGAAAAAATCGGATTGAAACATCTTTGTCGCGCCAGTTATCGGAGGAAATTACAAAACACAACATGCGTGTTGATCACAACCGCAGTGTTTTTCAAAGATTAGTCGATATTATTTGCTATTTAGTAAAACAATAACTTCGTTTCAGAGGTCACGATGAGTCGAAAACTTCATTAAATATAGGCAAATGATTTCATTCCTCCCCTGAATTAGAAGACCGCAATGTTTTCGAACTCATCGACTTTATAAACGAAAATAGTCTTGAAGAGGCCATTCCCCAGCTTTTAAAGCTAGCTTATCTTGTCGTAACTATTCCAGCCACAAGTTCCTCCGCATAACATGCTTTCTCATCTCTGAAGCGCATCCATACTTATTTGAGAAATACACAAGGTCAAGGGCGTCTTTCAGACTTATCAATTATCGCTATTGAAAAACAGTTATTGGTACAATTAAAATGTTCACCAACATTTTACACAGACGTAATTAAGTTTTTCCTTAAGAAAGAGACTATTCGATTTAGAATATAAATAATTTGTTTTTTTAATTTTACACATAGTTTGTTTGTACTTTGTTCATGTATTTGTATTGTATGTAAATATCTTTTTCTTTCGCTCAAGCAAACCGAAGGGATTTTGTCAATGCTACCGAAGGTATGCCATTTGCTGATATGTCATACATTCTATCTAGCAGTAGTATGCCTTTTGTGTGCTTTGTTAAACACGTCTTCGACAGCACTGAATATAAAACTGAAGAGTGGAGACAAATCAAGATTAGTGTATTTTTATAAAACTGCTAAAAACAACAAAACCATATCTTGGGCTTGCCCTAGTTTGTAGCCGTAGCTTCGCTACTGATCTATATCCCATGGGTGTCATAAGAGGCAACAGAGAGAAATGCAACATGGAAGAAGAAATGTCAGCAGCAGCATCTTCCTGATAATAACTCTAAATATAAAATATCCTTCCTATTAATTTATTGCAAAGGGTTATGTTCAGAAGTGGACTTTACATAAGAATTTGATATGACTAAATAACACCAAAATGATGAAAGGTAAATATTACATTCAATATATATATATATATATATATAAATAATGTAATTATAAATTAATAATAATGTTATTAAAAATAAGTATATATATATATAATGAATATTCCTTATTAATTATATTAAATTGATTTAATTACATCTAACCACAATGTAACTATAGTCTGCGCTAATTTTACCATCACAGCTTTAGATTTTTTAAAGCTAGATTGATTCTAGTTAGAAAAACAGATTTAGAAAGTCAATTTCAATATCATTTATTTAGGATTTTTTATTTATATACAGTATGTATATGTATATATATATATATATATATCGACAATTCGAGTACTGTTGTACATGCTGTACACAGTACATTAACTGTTAGACATGGACCTTCGCCAGTGCAGGGAGGGTTTTCCTTAATAGTCACACCTGAGAGGTGGACATGATTTATTATACTACCATCTAACATTTTTCTAGCATTTTAATTTTTTTCTTACAAAGCCTCCACATTCCGTAAATACAATAGATAAATAAGTTATAATATAGTATTAGGTATTACATTAAATGCATATTTTTAGGAAAAATTTTACTTAAAATTACAAAATAACTGTCTAAAATAACTAACTGCTCCACTCTCTTTCCGCCATTATTGCAAGAGTAAAAAAAAATAAGGTACATATTGTTTCTTTTTACTCGTATTAATAGGTGCACAATGAAAGTTGGGCATGTTAATGGACTTCTTAATTGCTTCTTTAACCCTTCAGAGATGAGAATAGAGGAATGTTTAATGGCATTTTTATATCATATTTTGTAACATAGTTTAGTTTTTAATTTAGACTAAATTCACAACAACAAAAGAAAAAACTGGAAACAAGATAGCATGCATTTTTTTTATAGGATATGGTAACAAACGAGCACACAGTCCACCTGATGGTAAGTGGTTTCTGTGGCCCATAGACATCTATCCATATTCATCCTTGTTTGCGAATCAAAATGCAGATGCGTTGTCACCCGTGAGGACTTAAGATGGAATGCCTCTTTTTCAGTTAAAAGGGTCTCCGGTTCTCTACACTCACCATACGAAACACAGCAGTGTTAAGCTGCTATTTTACGCTGGTATTCTGTGAGAGCGTGGTCCTTACCCGCTTGAGCCGACCCATTCATGCTACAACTATACTACTAATAAAGTTGCAGCATGGCTCTACCATGTAAAAAATATCATAAGATTGTTGAATAGTGATGAAAATAGATCTTGGAATATATTAAATGTGAAGAATTGAATCTATACCAATAATATAATCTTGTGAAAATGTCTTCATGAAACAGAATATGAAAATATCTCATGTTAATCATGTACCACTCTGTGGCTTAGCTATGAGTTGCAGTGCTAAGGGCTGCAGGATCGCAGGATCAAATACTGCTTGGAACAAGTACTTATATGGCCTACAAATAACTGTTTCGGGTCTGGACATTTATTCTTGTGGAATTTATGTTTATAAACTGCCTCCACAAAACAGTAGAAAATCCTACTAGGGTAACATTTAAAAAAAAACATACTTTGGTTACTGTAAGAGATCCTTGGCTGCAGATGTAGAGAGCTGGATGGGTCCAATTCTCGTACAAGATTCCAATAGCCATTTTCTTCTAGTGTCTCTAGTAGATGTCCAAAAGCTTCAGGCCCTCTTCTCATTATATCCATGTACAACTGGCGCTTTCTAGTCCTTGTGTCTTTGTTAGTGTCCTTAAAATAAATATTATGTATACAGGGTATTTTTGGAACGCTCCCGAAAACTAAGACAGGCGACAGCACCAAGTATACCTTTGATCATGGGTCACAAATAAATTCGATCCTGATAAAAAAAAAATCATCTTTTAACAACGTTTTATTAGCTTTATTCACGCGCCATCATGTTAGTACAGCTAAATGAAACGATAATTTCATAAAAAATATCATGAAAATACTGAAACATAAAACCAGCAGTGGAATGACTGAATTGTATCACCTGACTAAAGGTCAATGTACTCGCGAACGCAAATTCGCGCGGCCCGCAACTAGCGGGCCATACCACTACATACGCTAATGAAAAAATACTTAAATGAAATGTAACCAAGGTTGGAGTCATGCGTTTTTATTCATCGTGTAGGTATGTTTATTATTCTCATGTATTCAGTTATGTACCTATTCAGATTAGTTCAGTACTAAGTTATTTAAAAAAAATAGTTATGAAACAGCTTACCGCTCTAAATCCTCCGTGGTCTTATGAGATGCAGCTCAAATTGTGCTCCATTCATTTCAAGGTAGATTTGGGTGCAGGCGGGGCATCATCGTGTGGTCTTCGACACAGTCCGTACATAGTTTCTCGAAAGCATCCACGATCCTTTGGCGCATTTTGTCAGCACTATCACACTCACGATTAAAAACCCTTTCTTTCACATACCAAAAAGAAGTCTAACGGGGTCAGATCTGGTGAGCGAGGTGGCCAAGCGTGTGGTCCTAGTCTGCCGATCCAGCGATCATCAAATAGCTCATTGAGGCGCTCACGGACGAACCTCACGACATGGTATCGCTGTCTGTTCAGTCGCTGTGGCAGAAACACTGGTCCCAGTATGCGATCCTTAAATAAACCTGCCCATACGTTAACCGACCATCGGGTTTGGTGCCCGGTTTGTCGAACAGCGTGCGGGTTAACTGAATACACGTGTGTATTTCTTCGGTTCCACAGGCCGTTTCTGGTAAATATCGACTCATCCGTCCAGATAATGTGCTCAATGGAACCAGGCACACGTTGTCGCTGGTATAATAACCAACGGCAGAAAACTCGTCGGCGGACGTGATCGCCGGGAACTAAAGCTTGCACTTTGTGCAATTTGTATGGGCGCATTCGGTTACGCTTCAACTCTTTGTGCACTGCACAAACGCATCCCGACGTCTTAACAATTTATTTGGCGATACTTCGTGTACCTGGGTTCGGATAACATGTTGCTGTATTCACAATCACTATAAAAGTACGCGTTAAGCATTATTAAAACAAAAAACGTAACAACAGGAATAATACCAACACGTAATCACAAGTAATAACAATACGATTGAGCTGTCGCTCACGCACGCGTGTACAAAATCAACACGGAACTGTTTCAAAAACTACAATTAATAACGAACCCCAACAAAACTGAAACCTACTGCTAGGACAGTTATTATACTCTTTGTCTCACAGAATACTTTACTCCTTGCTTTGTCTACTGCGTCACAGCGTGAGGCGACACGAGCCGGCCGGGTTACATTCTGCCGTCGCCGGGTTACATAAAGAAGGACGCAACTAACAAAAACGTAAAATGGAAATAAAAAATAAATTGATGAATTTTTCTTTCAGACCCTGTGTCTAAAGTACCTATATTAAAAGGTATCTATATGAAAATACGTAGAGACATGAAGATTTTAAGGACGAACAAATTTTTTGATAATTTGTTTATTTATTTAAATAAAACGAATTTTCCTTTTCATCTTAGCTTAAAAAATACACCTGGCAACACAAAAACATCGAAGGATAGACGCATATAACTATTTGCGTCTTTCCAACCTAATAAATTTAAAAAAACTGCCATTCATTTAACAATTTTACATATTTTGGAAAGGTCATTTGAAGTTGAAAGGACGCTAATAGTAATTTACTACTTTTTTTTTAATAAATATTAGAAAAGCATTGGCAGTGAGACACAAAAAATAATAATTTTAAAAAGTAATGATTTTAAAGGGGATATCATACAAGACTTACTACGATAATAATTAAAAATTAAAAATTTTGTACAACCGACTTTAATATAAATAATTAAGGATAACTCAAAAACTATTGGTCTGACCTCGATCAAATTTATATGGGACCACATGTGAAACACCAGCTCTTAACAATAAGATATAAGCTCTTAATAATAAGATATAGAATAATAAGACAAGACCAAGAATAATTGAAATTTAAGTAATCGATGCAAATATTGTTAAAGATGACGTAGCAACTGGTTAAATAAGTCTTTTCTTTTATGTTGAATTTGTATAAGTCTTTTCTTCTAAAAAAAGTCATCTGTGATCAACAGTTACGTCTAAAATTCTTACGATAATTTCTAAAATATTGATATTTGTGAATATTAAAAAAATTTAGTAGATGCGCCTTCTTATCATGAATCGAATGGTATATTTAACTCATTTATTCATAAATTGTTAGACGCGCCCTTTTTTCTTACGACCGCGTGTTTCGTACCGAGCTAGATACAGGTCGATAGCGGAGGGGGTGTGGGTACAATCGAGTTCTAAAGTACTACATGGTATTGGGCTATTGTTTTATAATATTATAGTAATTAATTGTTTTAATGTAGAATCATAATAGGTGTTTTACTAGCTACTTAGAACTTTGGAAGAGGTGGGAATTAAAAATGGATAATGTTTACATGAGCATTATTTGTTATTTCTATCGTAAAATATAAAGTAGTTTGTAACAAGAAAACTTTAGCTAAGGGTAACACGCCGTCCATTATGACGTCTTGGGTCACATGGAAGCCAGATGTTAATGGTGTGTTGGTGTTACTGGATGCTACTTGATCATCACTTTCATCTTCGCTTGAGCTTCCGTCATCAGGTCGATCACATGGTAATTTTTTCGGTATTCTTCCTCCACACTTTTAACTTTACTGCACAATTTTCCCCATTCACCTTCTCCTATCATATTTACCTTTTCGATCACTAGTTTAGTCATAAAACAATAGATATAAATAATTTTTCTTTCCTTCCTTTTTAAAACATCGTCGCGAGTCGCAAAGTAAGCTGTGTATGCGACTGTATTTTTGGAGCGAACAAAGCGCGGGAACCAATAGCATGCAGGCACACTAATACTGGCGGATTGTTCCCCCGTCGCGCGCCTTTCGTACCAATATGTGATAAATCGCTCAGTGCCCAAGTTCAAGGCCAGCGTTTGTTTTTCACCGTTCGCGCGTACATTAACCTCCATTAGTCAGGTGATATCAATTCAGTTTCCACTGCTGGTTTTATGTTTCAGTATTTTCATGATATTTTTTATGAAATTATCGTTTCATTTAGCTGTACTAACATGATGGCGCGTGAATAAAGCTAATAAAACGTTGTTAAAAGATGATTTTTTTTTTATCAGGATCGAATTTATTTGTGACCCATGATCAAAGGTATACTTGGTGCTGTCGCCTGTCTTAGTTTTCGGGAGCGTTCCAAAAATACCCTGTATAATATAATATGAATATAAAAGTTATAGTGCCTAAACCTACAAGTTTCCCAATTTATTTTCTGTAAAATATTTATTATTATTATTATTTGGTCTATTTGGCCCTTGGTATTGTGATTATGTCACAATAATTCTGCCAATTGTAAAATATTTGTATGTTAAGTAAACGTGATGTAACAAGATCTCCCAATTCAAACTTCAACTTCATACAATCCACCTTCATACTTAAGAACAAATTAAGTGTATACAAGTTATAGATATTTCATAGCTTAGCAATGGGAAATATCAAGTCAGGAAGAATCACTTTTATACATATTAATACATAATCATGTCAGTTCCCAGAACTACAGGTTTTCCCAAAATATTTTTCTTCATTACTGACAATGTGATAAATTGCCGCCCTGCCTACCACGACATACATTACATATTTGTTTATACAATAAGAAATTGAACACAAATTTCACTAAAACTGCAAAAACTACTTCGTCAAAGGGTTTGAGTTTTACAGGTTACGGGACACAAAGAACGGTACAAATATATGTCTTACTTTGAACGGTTCGATCATCTGTTCGGAGAACACTCCTTTTTCATAAAGGGCTGAAACCATGACGTCAAGATCGGTCTGCTCCACTAAGGAACCAAAGTTATTTTGTATAGCTTTTCGATGTTCATCCTGCATTTTGCTGAGCAATAATACTTATTTAATGCAACCGTAAACACGTTAGCTGCCACAGTTCCTTTTACAATTAAAACGCAGTGATTTTTAATCTTTGCTTTGCAGAAAAGTTAAAAATTCACATATAAAAGTACTCTATGTTCACTCTCGAGCAGCTCGCACTTATACAAAAAGTTGATGGTTCATTTTTTTTTCATTTTGTTTTTTACAAACAAAGAGAATATAATCACTACGTTTAGTTTTTTAATAACTGGCTTTACGGGTCTGGGTACTAGCCTTTCTGAGCCTGAAGTTACAATGTATAATTATTCTTCATAGTATACTGTTTCACAATCTGTTGATGCGTCACATTGTGCAGCCATTGGGAGATTTTGACGGCAACTTGAGCCAGCAGACAACTGACAGTTGGCGGTAGTGTCTCGAGGCGCCTAAACAGACAGATGCCTTATCTTGACAATCACTTCACCATCAGAGCACTTGTATCACCGTTTTTCCTAATAGTTCACATGCGCAGATACTTAATACACAAAATCGCATCACATTTATGTATCAAAATCCACTTCAAACCATTATTTAAACAATAACACAGGAACAACAATCTGCCGCCGGTCAAGTTTCCGTCAAAACTCTTTAGATGGTTCTGTTCAATACCCTATATAGTATATCACATAGACTTAGGATATACATATAGACCAACATAGTGCGCAAGGGAGAAGAAAATTCCTTATGGCAAAAATGCAAGATAGAAAAGGATACCAAATCTCATGACTCTGTAACCGATTTTGAATGACAGTATGGCGCAAGTCGGCGCGCAAGAAATAAGCTTGTAGATATTTTGTGTGTTTTTAGATTATAATAGTGTTAATTTGTATAATTTATAGTTTTCCAAAATGGTTTCATGTTCCGTAAGTGACTGTGGTATAAACAATATGGCGCCTCTTCACGTTGGCCAACACAGTGGCGAATGTGTTGGCAGAGTTATTGGCCAAGAAATTGTGATCGCGTCCACACGTTGGAAGGTCGTTCAGTTTGCTTCGGTTCAGGCCAATGTGCGGACGAATTTATTAAAATGATTATTGATGCGCTAACGGCTGCTGCGGTTTATTTATTCACAGCATACCACTATTTTTTTATTTAATTTTCACTATTTTTTATATTTAATATTTTGAATATAAATTTTTAATATTTCTTTATTATACACTAACGTTATATAGATAAGTGAACTATATAAACATTAATACACCTAGGCATAGGTATAATTAACACTTTTACAACTAAGGCCTGGAAAATATTCGAAGCCTGTCTATGAAACTGTTGTCAAATTTTATTAAACAAAACCTTTTTAAAAAGGGTTATTCTTATTATTTAATTATAGAATAAAAGTTAATAATAATAATAAATAATTTATTTCGTCAAACATTAAAATTACATTATATGATCAGTGATCGAGGTCACCTAGTAAGCAAAATAATGCCTGTAACAGGTGACTTCGCTCTTCCATAGCTAAAAATTACAGTATTATTAACGAAATAAAGTAACTAATGGGGAATAATAAAGACAGTAAAAACATGATTTTAGTATCCTACTTTTTAATTTGATTTTAATATATATTATATATTTTAATATATTTAATAAATCAATTAATACATCAATAAATAAATTAATACACAATTAATCACTACAACGTGAATGTGTATAAGATAAGGGTGATCAAAAAGAAATGGAAAAAAGAAATTTTATTTCTTGACGGCTCCGTGGCGTAGTGACTTAGCAATGAGTAGCTGCCCTGGGGGCCGCGTGTTCGAATCCCGCACGGAACAAGTATTTGTATAGCCTGCACATAATTTCTCCGGGTCTGGATGTTTGACCTTATGCAATTTATGTTTCTAAACTGCCTCCACGATACAGGAGAAAATCCTAGTGTATAATAACATTTTTTTTAAAAAGACTTGTGTTTTACAAACAATTTTCGGCTTGGTAGGGCTCTATAAAGCGAAAAGTTTTTTCATTGGTCATTGTTACTGCCGTTATGTAGACACTAGTTACGATGCGTGCATATAAAATTAAAATCAGGTGCGTGCAATCACTCTGGGAGCTCGTAGCAAACTGAACGTGTGCCCAACGTGTGGATGCGACGGCCAATACTGTGCCACGACCCTTTGATCTTTTGCAAAAAACCGACACCACACGGATCTCGTGCCAACTTGTGGGCCATCGTTCAAATACGTATCAACGTAGCTTAAACACCCGCTCTACACGATGGCCATCGTTGTTGGCCAACACATTCGCCAGTGTGTTGGCCAACGTGAAGAGCCGCCGATAGAAGTAATCCTGATGGTTGCATATTTCACAGGTAAATTCGCAAGACGTCGTCAATAATAAGACACGTCTATTTTTGCTTAAAATTTATGTTATATACTGTTTAAAATATGTAATATTTTCTATTATTTTATTAATTTTGGTATTTTTCAAAGAAAAAAGTCACATTGTTGATAATTGGTATGCTTTTGGTGAATTCATTTTTAAACAAAATATTTTACATTTACGCTAGGGATTGACTCAACTATATCAAAATTAATGTCGATATTTATCTTTAATGTGTATGAAGAATCGATAGACTTTTATACACAACAAAAAGAAGAATGAAATTAAATGCTCGATTTGCGTTCTAAAAATGATATTTTATTTTGCCGTTTGTGAAACAGATTCCCTCTGGTGCCTTTAGTTAGAAAAAAATGGTTGGCATTAATTGGGCGGGTTGGTTGGAATCCTAAGAAGAACTCTACAATTTTGTAGTAAACATTTTATTGAGAAATATATAAGAAAAAGCAGAGTAAATACAACTTTATTAAAAGGAGCCACTCCTACATTATTTGTACCAGTAAGTATATTGTTGTTACAATAAGACGTCATTTTTTTTTATAGGATGGGGTGACAAACGAGCACACAGTCCACCTGATGGTAAGTGGTTGCTGTGGCCCATAGACATCTACATCTATCCTCGTTTGCAAATCAAACTGCAGATGCGTTATCACCCGTGAGGACTAAGATGGAATGCCTCTTTTCCAGTAAAATGGGTCCCCGGTTCTCTACACTTACCATACGAAACACAGCAGTGTTAAACTGCTTATTTTACGCTGGTATAAAAATTTTACATCAAAAACTTTGGGTAAAAATAGAGATAGATTTTTATACATTATAAAAGTCTATCTCTATTATTATATATTTTCCCCTAGGGGTTGTGCGGAGCTTTGGAATATATTCCTAAGTCACAATGATAAAACTTTTAGCGTAGTTAGGTATGGTTATTGAGTAATGTTCCTGAAGCGCCACTAGATGCCATGAGGCGCGCGATTTAGTGTACCAGGATAGTATAAATTCCATAGTATTTGATACGCGCAACGCTTGATATCCGATTCATGGTTGATGCTCGACGACCGGTGACCGTTTTCTTAACATACTGCGATTGAGAGAATAGAAGAGTGCAACTGCATCCTCGGACACTTGGTGCAATATAATGTCTACAGCGTATTTGACTTGTCTATGTTAAGATCATTATATTTTTTAAATTCATGCAGCTAAAATGATAATAAATTTATTATTACTTTATATTTTTCAGGGACAGATAAAAGAAAGAGTAGCCTCATCATATGTCACTCGTGACATAACCCCTCCACCTTTGAAATCACAAGAAAGAAAGGTTCAATTTACACTAAGAAAAAAAAACTTTTATCGAAAATCGAGAAATTAAAACAAAATCTGAAAAAAAAACGAAGTTCGGAGCTATTCTATATATGTTGCTTTAACTTCAGAACTTTGTTAGTGCGATTTAGGCTTCGATATGTTTCGCTTGTGGCGCGACGACAGCGTCGCCACATCACCCCTCTACTCAGACCGGAGATTGATAGTGCAGTCCGATTGCAAGTGCCAGGGATTGCCTTGTAGTCTGCGGTAAGTCAAGGAGAAGGCAAATAATCTGCGAGAGTGCCGTGAAGCAGAGGCGAGCAGTAAGGCTCAGAGCCGTGCCGAACACTGTAGCACAGAGAGTAGCTTGATGGAACAAGAAGCATTATTATTCCAGTGCTGCGATGAACCTTTGTAAAGCTAGAGGGCTTGTAAAATGTGAAGACTGCAGACAATATCTACTCGGGAGCGAATGAATGGGGTACTTGAGGAAGTTTTGGAGGAAGGTTTTGAAGTTGTAGTTTCCGAAGGTTGTTTGTTTGTTGCGTGTTCATATTACGTCGGGGTCACCACTGTGACTGGTGGAAGGAAAAGGGGAGATCTCCCGCCGGGCAAGATGTTCTGCCCGGGGAGCGGCCAATGCTCTGATTGGTAGTTCGGAGCTATTCTATATATGTTGCTTTAACTTCAGAACTTTGTTAGTGCGATTTAGGCTTCGATATGTTTCGCTTGTGGCGCGACGACAGCTTCGCCACATCACCCCTCTACTCAGACCGGAGATTGATAGTGCAGTCCGATTGCAAGTGCCAGGGATTGCCTTGTAGTCTGCGGTAAGTCGAGAAGAAGGCAAATAATCTGCGAGAGTGCCGTGAAGCAGAGGCGAGCAGTAAGGCTCAGAGCCGTGCAGAACACTGTAGCACAGAGAGTAGCTTGAAGGAACAAGAAGCATTATTATTCCAGTGCTGCGATGAACCTTTGTAAAGCTAGAGGGCTTGTAAAATGTGAAGACTGCAGGCAATATCTACTCGGGAGCGAATGAATGGGGTACTTGAGGAAGTTTTGGAGGAAGGTTTTGAAGTTGTAGTTTCCGAAGGTTGTTTGTTGCGTGTTCATATTACGTCGGGGTCACCACTGTGACTGGTGGAAGGAAAAGGGGAGATCTCCCGCCGGGCAAGATGTTCTGCCCGGGGAGCGGCCAATGCTCTGATTGGTAGTTCGGAGCTATTCTATATATGCTGCTTTAACTTCGGAACGTTGTGTTGTTAGTGTGATTTAGGCTTCGATATGTATCGCTTGTGGCGCGACGACAGCGCCGCCACAGGCATGTGGTATCGCAGACTTTTTTTAGATGCAGCAAAGACCAAAATATTTGTAGAACATTGTAATACAAAATGTTACGCTAGCGCACGTGGATAAAGCAGTTAGAGAGCGCCTTTTCTTCCGACTTCCTTAACAAAAATCAATATATAAGGTTAGCTGATAGTTATATGCTAGATAGCCTATACTATTCCTCATGAATCTGGCTATTATATGCAAAAATTTTAAATTTGAACTGGTAGGTCCAGAGATTAGCGTATTAAAACAAACAAAATAACTCTTCCGCTTTAATTTATTAGTATAGATTAAATGATTTTGTTTTCTTGTTTCTGTTTCCGATTCTGTTTTATAAATATTAAAGGTAATAATTATATAAAAAATAAAGCAGCCATTATATACTCCCTGTCCTCGTTTTTTATTTTACCAGAAAAACATTTTATAAAATATAAATAGGTAGATACCTAATTAAGTATCTACCTATTTATATTTGATTAAAATTATGTTGAAAAAGAAATTGTAAATGGCATTAAATATTTTTCTCCAGAGGTCAAAAATATAACTTTCCGATCTGATTGTTGGAGAAAATTGTTTCATTTTATCGGTAAACTTACCTCGCCTCTTCAGATATTGTTGCAATTTTGTACATTTTGAATTAAAGTCCAACAAAAGGCAAGTGGTGCCGGTGAAAGAATTTCCACTTCCCAATATCGTCCCATGTGTATCATAAAGGTGACAAAGGGAAACTGAAAGAGGCGATGGGCAGCAGCATCTTCCTGATAACAACTCGAAATAATAAAAAACTGTGGTTGACAACCCGCTGGCCAAGCGATGGTAAATATCCCCTATAACTTGTCAAAAAATTAGGAAAATGAGCGTTTTTCGTTGCGTACGTGTTTTGATCTTTAAATTAACACTGTTAGGTTTAAAACTGTGAGGTAATATTTGAAATATACTTTCCCCTGAAATCTTATTTACGAAGTAAAAAGGCGGAAAGGCTGGAATTAGGGGCGTGGCTGGTATTAGGGGCATCCACCCTACCTTCGTGTACCACAACTCGGGGAGAGCCTCAAAATTTAAAATAAAATCTTTTTCTGGCTGAAGCACGTTTGGTGGGAGTGGCGACGGACTTCACGGGCGCGTGGAAGCCGCCTCTTCAATATATTCTGCGTCCGCCTCCATCGCTGTCTAAGCGACGTCCAATCAAAATTCGTGACTGATAGTTGATTGACGTAAAAACCAAAATATCCAGATATTTGTCAATCAATTTCATGCAACCGTCAATCACCGCATTACACGGTAGGTTATTCGTCAATCACAACCGTGATTGTTGTAAAACTGACAGCAAAACCTACCGTTTAATGGGCATCTTACGTGTTCAATCAAAATTCGTGACTGATAGTTGATTGACGTAAAAAACAAAATATCTAGGTATTTGTCAATCAATTTCATGCAACCGTCAATCACCGCATTACACGGTAGGTTATTCGTCAATCACAACCGTGATTGTTGTAAAACTGACAGCAAAACTTACCGTGTAATGGGCGTCTAACACTGAAAAATAACTCCGAACAAGGGTTAGATGACAGACGAACTACCACAAATAAACTTCATAATGGTGGCACTTGATGGTGGGTGGTGGCACCTCACATGGCTATTGTATTTGCGTATTTGCTGTATATGAGAAATAACATCCAAGTGTGGAGAGTATATTTGTCATACCTATAGCCTATTTGGCAAATATAGCCAATAGCAAATACGGCTTACCGATCGTCTGTCGGTTTTTCAAGGCTCATCAAAGGAGACAAATAGGCAAGTATACTGGCCACACATGGTCGGGCTCATAAGCGTGCGAACCAGTGCGAACTGTCAACCAGTACGGACGGACCTATTTATAACTTCTTAATAAGTGATTATTTAGGTACCTACGGAAAATGAATTTGGACAAAGAAAACATCGCCTTGCTCTTGGTCGTTTTTTCATCACTTTGTATTTTTTTACGCATAACACATAATAGTAACATGCGTTCAAATAATAAAATCCAGCTGCAAGTGCAACGTCCATTTTATAGGTACAACTACTTTCTGCTAGCAAACATGTTTAATTTTTTGGTATTTAATATGTTTAATATTTCCATGTGTAGACGGTTGTATCGCTTATTTGCCCGTACGTCGAATTTTTTGCCAAATACGGCAGCACGCAATCACAAATACAAATAGCCATGTGAACTGCCACCATAACAACAACAACCATAGACAAAAATGCGACATATTATTTATCTAATATCTATGACAACTTCAGAAAAAAGTGGGAAGTGAAGAAGAGAAATCTACATTTATATAATTCTTATTTCTGAATATTATTAGAAAGTCTGAAATTGAAATTCAAAATGTTTTTAATTAAGAATGCAATATTTTTGACAATATGTGTAATTTTTACTACGACAACGGCGTACGAAATATCTGACATAGCCTCTGCAAGAATTGAGGTAAAACTAGTTTTTATTTTTAAGACGCCCATTACACGGTAGGTTTTGCTGTCAGTTTTACAACAATCACGGTTGTGATTGACGAATAACCTATCGTGTAATGTAGTTATTGACAGTTGCATGAAATTGATTGACAAATATCTGGATATTTTGATTTTTACGTCAATCAACTATTCAGTAACGAATTTTGATTGAACGTGTAATGTAATTTCATCAATCACGCGTCAGTCAACGCTCAGACAGCAATGGAGGCGGACGCAGAATATATTGAAGAGGCGGGTTTCACGCGCTCGCGCAGTCCGTCGCCACTCCCGCCAAATGTGCTTCAGCCAGAAAAATACTTTATTTTAAATTTTGAGGCTCTCCCCGAGTTGTGGGACACGAAAAACCCCGGGTAGGTTGAATGCCCCTAATACCAGCCACGCCCCTAATTCCAGCCTTTCCGCCTTTTTACTTCGTAAATAAGATTTCTAGTAGTCTTAACTACAAATATGGTCGGCTAAAAATTCTTCGTAATTAGAGGAAAGTATATTTCAAATATTACCTCACAGTTTTAAACCTAACAGTGTTAAATTAAAAATCAAAACATAAGCATATTTTACATTAGCTCATCTTTAGGCTTTTTGATTTGTATGAATGTGACTATAGATATAGTAATGTAGCTATTTTTATTTAAATTTATAAGTTTTTTATTTTCTTTTAGTGGAAATTAATGGGGCTGTAATTAGATATATGAAATTTATGGAGTGCATAATGTCAGTCGCCCGAATGTTATTTGGTTTGACGTAAATAATAAGAAGTACCTTATTTCAACCACGTAAAATAAATCAGGGCTGTCATAAACTAGAATAAATACCATTAATTTGAACTCACACAAAACCAACGTAGAATAGCAGCTTAACGCTGCTCTGTTTCGTATGATGAGTGTAGAGAACCGGAGACCCTTTTTACTGGCAAAGAGGCATTCCATCTTAGTCCTCACGGGTGACAACGCATCTGCATCTTGAGTCTATATTGAGGACAGATGTAGATGTCTATAGGTCATAGTAGCCACTTACCATCAGGTGGACTGTTCGTTTGTCACCCTATCCTATATAAAAAAAAACATAACTTATTTTATAGTTAAGTAAGTTATGGTCAATTCGTCTATATTTTAAAATTGGTGTTTGATTTAAAAGTTTAACAAATGATACGTACTTGCTTTTCAGACATTTGGTATATGTTAAGAACACCATACAATATTTAATTATTTTTTGGGAAAGACAAAAACAAACAATAAATGTAATTAACTACAACTTAGTAATACTAATTTTATTATAACTTAAGAACATAAATGAAAAAGTCATAAAAAGGAAAGTGGTTCAGGACCATGCTTTGCGGCAATCTATGGAGGATGATGTTCTGTAGTCGACTTGTGAAGGACTGAAATGATGATAAAGATTCAAAAACTTGGATGATTAAATTATAAGAAATCGGTGTACTATACATAATTTTTATTATAATATTATTTTAATTAATTGTTTAGTGTTAAAAGATAAAATGTAACTGCTTAAAGCTAAACCACAGTAAGGTAAGAAGTAAAACATTAAAATAAAATAATTGTTGTCGTCTATCTTAATACATATTCCATACTTGTGACATGCATGATTTAAAATTAAAAGTTGTTATGAATTTATTTCAGTGCCCCTAAAATTTACCTACAATAGGTACCTACCAAAACTCAAAAGGCATAGCCCTATGCTATGCTGGCATTAGATACACAAGAGGAAATTGAAATTGGCACTAAAAGGCTGGTAATAGGGGCATCCACCCTATACGAATAAATGTAAAAGTTAAGCTTATTTTTCGTCCATAAATGCGTTTCAAATAAAGCCGCGTATCGATTATGCACTCCAAGAGGTCTAACATTTGCGCGCGTTAAATTAAAATGCGTAAAATAATAAATATAACAATTTTTCCTATTCGTTTTTTTTTTCTTTTTCTTTTCAAGATATAAAATTATATTTAAATGGTGAATCGAAAATGAACTTAGTTTATAGGTACGTCCTTTCACTCCGAAAATTTGGGTTTGACTGACGATCAGTCAGCATGAGCGTGTAATGTCCAAATTATTCCATTATTCAAACCTCAGTCACGATTGATCGAACTGATTGACGCTTGCCTAGGCGTGTAATGGGCGTCTTACAATAACTGAAGGAAGTTTTAATACACTATATCATAACTATATTTTATTTTGTCCACAGAGCTGTAGAGGTTGTTCTCTAAATCGTCTGCCTGAAGTGAAAAAGTTCGTAATGGAAGACGCACCCAATTACGAGAAACTGGATGTTAAATTTATAACTGGGGCGGAGCCGGAACTTATATTACTGGACGAAAGTGATAATGAACTGGAAAGGCTGCGGCTTTCACATTTGTCTCGTTCTGAATGCAATGAGCTAATACAAAGCAAAGGTTTTTACAAAAAAGATAAAAAAACCGAATTTTAATGATAAAGGATACCTATTTTGAATAAATAAATGAAATATATACTCATTTAAGTATTTTTACATTCCACTTTGTGATATTAGTACGAAACTGTAGATTGCGATAGTTAATATAAGTATAATCAATAAAATATTTTCCATTAGAAATCTCTTGTATTTTTACATTGGCATAAGGCAGACAGGAAATCCAGGTTTCTGTGGAGAAATAACTATGAGCTTATGGCTTGACAATGTCATGTTGATATAGAATCTAAAGTGAAACCAAAACTGTACTCCTAGATAGGGTCTAGTGTACTTGGGCAACATCATGAAAACTAAATAAAGTGGTACCTGTCATGATTCTCAAGTTATTTATTATATTGTTTAAAAACCTTTGTTTGAAGCTGTATATCATCATCATCATTACAGCCCTTCACAAGTCCACTGCTGAACATAGGCCTCCCCCAAGGAATGCCACAAAGCACGGTCCTGAGCCACCTGCATCCATCGACTTCCTGCACATCTCACCAGGTCGTCACTCCATCTAGTGGGGGGACGCCCATTCGCCTGCTGGTACGAGTTTGCAACTCGAGAACCTTTTTTCCCCATCGGTTGTCGGTTCTTCAAGCTATATGGCCGGCCCATTGCCACTTCAGCTTACTAATCCGTTGGGCTATGTTGGTCACTGGTTCTACTACGGATATCCTCATTTCTAAGTTTATCACGCAGAGAAACTCCGAGCATAGCCCTCTCCATAGCTCGCTGAGCGACCTTGAGCTTCCTCATCCGGCCAGCAGTGAAGGACCACGTATGTCATCACTGTCAACACACACTGGGTGTACAGTCTCGTTTTCAAGTTTTGAGGTATACCTGACGAGAAGATGTGCCGTAATTTCCTGAAAGCGTTCAGGAAGATGTGTCGTAGTTTCCCGAACGCTGCCCAACCGAGTTGAATCCGTCGATTGACCTCACGTTCGAAGTTGGACTTACCTAGTCAGACTATTTGTCCCAGGTAATCATACTCGTCAACAACTTCGAGCTTAGTGTTCCCAACAACTACCGGCATAGGTGTGACATGGACATTAAACATGATCTTTGTTTTGTCCATGTTCATCTTAAGACCTATCCGTTGGGAAACACTATTGAGGTCATTGAGCATAGTGCTTAGGTCCTCCAGCGATTCTGCCATAAGGACTATATTGTCGGCAAATCGAAGGTGAGTGATGTACTCGCCATTGATGTTGATACCGTATCCTTTCCAGTCCAGAAGCTTTAAAACAGCTTCCAATGCAGCGGTAAAGTTTCGGGGATATGACGTCACTCTGTCTTACACCTTTCTACAATTGGATAGGTTTCGTACTTTGGTTCTGTACTCGGATAGCCATCGTAGCCCTACTGTACAAGCACTTCAACACACTTCGATATACCGACAGTCAACTTGGCATCGCTGAAGGGACTGCAGCACCGCCCAAATTTCGACGGAATCAAAAGCTTTCTCATAGTCCACATACGCCAGACAGTCGCAAATTGTACTCCTCGGACTTCTGTACAATTTGCCGAAGGGTATGTATGTGGTCTATGGTGCTAAAGCCTTTTCGGAAACCGGCATGTTCGGGAGGCTGGAAGTCGTCAAGTCTGCGCGCGAGACGATTCGTAATGACCCTCGAAAAGAGCACGTAGACGCGGCTCAGAAGGGAAATCGGTCTGTAGTTCTTCAAAAGACCGTTGTCGCCTTTCTTGAAGAACAAGACCACCGCACTTCTGCTCCACGCCTTCGGTGTAATGCCACCATGGAGGACGGAATTAAAGAGCTTCTGAAGGACTTCAAGTACCGGTTTTCCACCCGCTTTCAGAAGCTCCGCTGTAATTCCATCCTCGCCTGGGACCTTGCCGTATTTAAGGTGCTGGAGAGCTATTCTAATCTCGCTCAGACTGACGTCCGGGATATCATCGGAATAATGTCGGATAAGACTCGCTCTTGGATCGTTACTCACACTTGCGTGTGGCTCCAACGGTGACGTGTACAGCTGCCCATAGAACCTCTCAATCTCACTCAAAATCTCAGGTGCCCCGGAAACGATGCTGCCACACCCTGTCTTCAGCCTTGACAGTTGGCTCTTTCTGGCAGACAGATCTCTGGCAATGACTTTGGAGCCTTGGTTCCGCTCGATCGCTTCTTCAATACGAGCGTAAGTCCCGCCGCATGCATTTGGAGATCTGTCTGTTCAGTTGCCTGTATGCTGTCAAATATGTTGAAGAATGTAGCTTCATCTCCCGTCTAACAACCATGAGATTAAGAGTGTGATCGGAGAGTTTTTGTGTTCTTCTGCGGCGGGTCTTGCAGAACTTAGCTCCGACCGCATGGACAGTTTCCACAAGCTTGTCATTCATATCGTCCACTTCATTGCAGTCTTCTAGGCACTGAAAACGGTTTTGTAACTCGAGCTGAAAGGTTTCGGGACTTTGGATTAGAGCACGAGGGGGACGGAGCGTTGACTTCATTAGACGAGACCTCTCCAACTTAACGTTTAGGTTCAGTGTGCCTCTAACCATTCGGTGATCGCTGCCGGTTTTCACCCTCGCAATCACTGAGACATCACTGAACAGTTGTCGTCTGGTCGTCATAATGAAGTCTCATTTTTTGTCGAACCGTCGGGGCTCGACCTGGTCCACTTCCTGTGGGGCCGTTTCTGGAAGAAAGAGTTCATCATAAAGAGTCCCTCTTTCTCCATGAAGTCGGCCAGCTGCTGGGCCCTTGGGTTCCGTTGCCCCATTCCAAATTTCCCTACTTTCAGCTCACCATTCTCTCTTGTGCCTAGTTTTGCATTGAAGTCTCCCATTAACACCGTATATTGGGTTTTCGAGGAATGCATGGCTCTAGAGATATTCTCATACATTTCCTCCACCTCCTCATCGGGGTGTGCCGAGGTTGGTGCGTAAACCTGTATGACCTTCAGCGAATACCGTTTGGTGATTCTGAGTATAAGGTACGCAACCCTCGTCGACACACTCTCAATTTTCACAACGTTGTTAACGAGAGACTTGTGGACGATAAATCCGACACCTCCTTGGGACAGATGGTCGCCCTCGCGGTAATAGAACAAGTGTCCGGATTCGAGGATTACCGTTTCCTCCCCCTCTTTTCGGATAATCCTATGATATGCCAGCGTAACTTGTCTATCTCTTCTTCCAGCTCCACAATCTTCTCGTCAGTCCTCAGGGTGCGTGCGTTGTATGTTGCCAGGTCGAGTCCTCGTAGGTGGCAACCGAACGTCCACCGGAGATTCTTAGCACCCCCTGCCCCGCCGTTACCATGGTCGCCACTGTAGCCAGGAATAGCGGGGCCGACGGGGACTGGGGGCCGTCTCTTTGTTACATTCATTCATAGGGGGGTATTTGCCATAGTTGCCACGCTTGGCGAGCGGGTTGGCAACCGCAGTTTTTTTAAAGTATTTTTGCTGTTATCAGGAAGATGCTGCTGCCCATCTCCTGCCTGTTTCCCTTTGTCGCCTGTTACGACACCCACGGGAAGATATGGGGTAGTGGATATTCTTAACCGCCACTACACGGCAATTATTTTTGATGATATGGCTTAGCTATCTTATGCCCCCTGTAAGTTCAACTTTGGATTGAGTTTAGTTTCTTCTTTCTGACTAAACAGCATTTGGGTTGGCCAAGTTGGTTTTCTATAATCATTATTTAACACTAATAGATAACTAAAAATGGGTGACGTGATGTGAATAGATGAAAATGTGGGTCTCATAAGATGCGACAGAGGTAAATAGAAACAGGTGATGGGCAGCAGCATCTTCCTGATAACAACTCTAATAAAAAACTGCAGTTGCCAAGCGTGGCAACTATGGCAAAATATTTATCAAAAATATTTGGCAACCTATAAGGGACTTATGTTCAGCAGTGGACTTTTACGAACTGTGATGGATAGATGAAATATTAATGACAAATATGGAAATGACATCTTGATGATAGTTGCAGCTTGGCTATGACTGCATGCGGCATATTTCAGTTTTGCCAAGCGTTAAGGTACACAGTGGCAAGTGTGTTTCTAAGCAGTGTTTCAGGTTACATTTTTGCCGCATACTAATTCGGACAATAATCACGAAAGTTTCTATTTGTTCAATTTATCAAAAACACTCCCCACACACCTACATAATTTTAACAAGACAAACGTCCAGACCTAGAACATGTAGACCATACAAATACTTGTTCTACAACAAGGACAAAACTAAAATTGAGTAAGAAAGAGCAAGACCTCATTTTGCTTCCGAATGTGTTGCGGTGTTAAAAGTTAGCGTTATTTGCATGGTTGTATCCATCAATTTGGGTCTAAAAAAATGTAATTAGTGATAAATAAAGGAACCGAGAAATAATTATATATATATGTTACAGTCAAAACTCATAACCGGTCAAAACCAATTCAAAAGTATACATTCTGACACAGTTACTGACGAATGATTGCTGAAACTGTATGTGCGCGACAGGTAGCCCCTTTAGGGATATATATGTTTTGTGGGTAGACCGCGACATAAACATGAGTCAAACGGCCAATTACATATCGCGGCGTACCGCTCGTGGCAGCCATTCACGATTGTCATTCTATATTAAGACACACCTTAAAGAATACTTTTAAATTTTAATATTTATTGTGGTATTAGAGATGTAACATATTATATCATTGAAAGTTCAGTAATTCTACCTGTAACATCTGGAAAGTATAAATTTTATCAAGACTTCTATGTATACTTGGTCACTATGGTCACTTTCTTAAAACTCAAAAACTACAACCTTTTTTGCATAGGTGACTTGTGATACAATAGCTCTTTATCAGTCAATCAAATAATAAAGGGTCAAAAAGGACACTGCTTTATGACGCCATTTTGACAGTTGAGAATATAGTAAATATTTTAGTCGATTTTAGTACTGTGTAGTGTAGTTAGTTTTTTATAAGTTGATTTTTCGAAGTGTTGCTAATTATTGGCAAAGCTTGTGAGATATTTTTTTCTTAATATATTTGTTATAGTATAAGACTTTGTATTTTTGTCACTGTCCTTCTCCTTGTTTTGATTTTATAGGGCGGCAAAGCTTAAGGTGACCATATTATCCTCACGTACTTTACTAGACCTCCAGTTCAGAACAAAGACTGGATCGCGCGGCAGCTAGTACAATGAACATGCCACCAGTTGTATTTTAATTTACGACAGTTACTATTTTTAGGCGAATACGAAATAAAGTTCTTCTTTTAAATTATGGCTTCTGTCGAAATAAATTTACATACTTATCTGAAATAAACTTCAAATCACAACAAAATGCACATAAAAATAATGACAGCGTTGTCGTGTGAACGTTTTTGTCACTTAATCACATTAAACAAGATCAGTGTTATATTGTTTAAAACGACTTTCGCAGTTTACAAAATAAAGAACTAGTCTTCGCCTGCAATCGACTAAAGAGTTACGGAGATTGACCGTGACTTAGTGCATAATGTATTAGTACCGTAGTGACCGTCTAATTGTATACATACATCTTTAATTTCCTCATTTTGTGTTCATCACTGAAAGTTCTACTAAGGCTAAAGTGGGTGCAAATCAAAGTCTTGTTGTGTTAATAATAATATATTATATTGGTGGTGATGTGCGATCGCGCTCAGGTGATGAGCGTGCAGTCGAGGTCTTCATCGCGTCCGTCGGTATGTGCACGACGCAGTACTCTCGCTACCACATCGCTGAGCGCCTCGCGAGCACCCTCATCCAGCAACGACATGCATTGCTGCAACAATTGACACTCATTTGAAAAGTCAATCAATGCACAAGACTGTAATTTGTCGTGTAATAGCGGCGTACGATAGTCCACAACAATCACTTTGTGGATGTCGTAAAAGGCGATAGAGGGAAACTGAAACAGGAGATGGGCAGCAGCATGTTTCTCACTCACTATTAGTTCTCTTAGTAATTTAGCTGCAACGCCGAGCTGGCGCAGCACGGTGCGCAGCGCCAGCTCGGCGTTGGCTCGCACGTAGGTGTTCTTGTACGTGCGTGCGTGTACGTGCGTGTACGTGTACGTGTACGTGTACGTGACCGACCTGGTGGAAGGCGGGGTCGTGCGGCAGGCGCAGCACGGTGCGCAGCGCCAGCTCGGCGTTGGCTCGCACGTAGGTGTTCTTGTACGTGCGTGCGTGTACGTGCGTGTACGTGTACGTGTACGTGACCGACCTGGTGGAAGGCGGGGTCGTGCGGCAGGCGCAGCACGGTGCGCAGCGCCAGCTCGGCGTTGGCTCGCACGTAGGTGTTCTTGTACGTGCGTGCGTGTACGTGCGTGTACGTGTACGTGTACGTGACCGACCTGGTGGAAGGCGGGGTCGTGCGGCAGGCGCAGCACGGTGCGCAGCGCCAGCTCGGCGTTGGCTCGCACGTAGGTGTTCTTGTACGTGCGTGCGTGTACGTGCGTGTACGTGTACGTGTACGTGTACGTGACCGACCTGGTGGAAGGCGGGGTCGTGCGGCAGGCGCAGCACGGTGCGCAGCGCCAGCTCGGCGTTGGCTCGCACGTAGGTGTTCTTGTACGTGCGTGCGTGTACGTGCGTGTACGTGTACGTGTACGTGACCGACCTGGTGGAAGGCGGGGTCGTGCGGCAGGCGCAGCACGGTGCGCAGCGCCAGCTCGGCGTTGGCTCGCACGTAGGTGTTCTTGTACGTGCGTGCGTGTACGTGCGTGTACGTGTACGTGTACGTGACCGACCTGGTGGAAGGCGGGGTCGTGCGGCAGGCGCAGCACGGTGCGCAGCGCCAGCTCGGCGTTGGCTCGCACGTAGGTGTTCTTGTACGTGAGTGCGTGTACGTGCGTGTACGTGTACGTGTACGTGACCGACCTGGTGGAAGGCGGGGTCGTGCGGCAGGCGCAGCACGGTGCGCAGCGCCAGCTCGGCGTTGGCTCGCACGTAGGTGTTCTTGTACGTGCGTGCGTGTACGTGCGTGTACGTGTACGTGTACGTGACCGACCTGGTGGAAGGCGGGGTCGTGCGGCAGGCGCAGCACGGTGCGCAGCGCCAGCTCGGCGTTGGCTCGCACGTAGGTGTTCTTGTACGTGAGTGCGTGTACGTGCGTGTACGTGTACGTGTACGTGACCGACCTGGTGGAAGGCGGGGTCGTGCGGCAGGCGCAGCACGGTGCGCAGCGCCAGCTCGGCGTTGGCTCGCACGTAGGTGTTCTTGTACGTGCGTGCGTGTACGTGTACGTGTACGTGTACGTGACCGACCTGGTGGAAGGCGGGGTCGTGCGGCAGGCGCAGCACGGTGCGCAGCGCCAGCTCGGCGTTGGCTCGCACGTAGGTGTTCTTGTACGTGCGTGCGTGTACGTGCGTGTACGTGTACGTGTACGTGACCGACCTGGTGAAAGGCGGGGTCGTGCGGCAGGCGCAGCACGGTGCGCAGCGCCAGCTCGGCGTTGGCTCGCACGTAGGTGTTCTTGTACGTGCGTGCGTGTACGTGCGTGTACGTGTACGTGTACGTGACCGACCTGGTGGAAGGCGGGGTCGTGCGGCAGGCGCAGCACGGTGCGCAGCGCCAGCTCGGCGTTGGCTCGCACGTAGGTGTTCTTGTACGTGCGTGCGTGTACGTGCGTGTACGTGTACGTGTACGTGACCGACCTGGTGAAAGGCGGGGTCGTGCGGCAGGCGCAGCACGGTGCGCAGCGCCAGCTCGGCGTTGGCTCGCACGTAGGTGTTCTTGTACGTGAGTGCGTGTACGTGCGTGTACGTGTACGTGTACGTGACCGACCTGGTGGAAGGCGGGGTCGTGCGGCAGGCGCAGCACGGTGCGCAGCGCCAGCTCGGCGTTGGCTCGCACGTAGGTGTTCTTGTACGTGCGTGCGTGTACGTGCGTGTACGTGTACGTGTACGTGACCGACCTGGTGGAAGGCGGGGTCGTGCGGCAGGCGCAGCACGGTGCGCAGCGCCAGCTCGGCGTTGGCTCGCACGTAGGTGTTCTTGTACGTGCGTGCGTGTACGTGCGTGTACGTGTACGTGTACGTGACCGACCTGGTGGAAGGCGGGGTCGTGCGGCAGGCGCAGCACGGTGCGCAGCGCCAGCTCGGCGTTGGCTCGCACGTAGGTGTTCTTGTACGTGCGTGCGTGTACGTGCGTGTACGTGTACGTGTACGTGACCGACCTGGTGGAAGGCGGGGTCGTGCGGCAGGCGCAGCACGGTGCGCAGCGCCAGCTCGGCGTTGGCTCGCACGTAGGTGTTCTTGTACGTGCGTGCGTGTACGTGCGTGTACGTGTACGTGTACGTGACCGACCTGGTGGAAGGCGGGGTCGTGCGGCAGGCGCAGCACGGTGCGCAGTGCCAGCTCGGCGTTGGCTCGCACGTAGGTGTTCTTGTACGTGAGTGCGTGTACGTGCGTGTACGTGTACGTGTACGTGACCGACCTGGTGGAAGGCGGGGTCGTGCGGCAGGCGCAGCACGGTGCGCAGCGCCAGCTCGGCGTTGGCTCGCACGTAGGTGTTCTTGTACGTGCGTGCGTGTACGTGCGTGTACGTGTACGTGTACGTGTACGTGACCGACCTGGTGGAAGGCGGGGTCGTGCGGCAGGCGCAGCACGGTGCGCAGCGCCAGCTCGGCGTTGGCTCGCACGTAGGTGTTCTTGTACGTGCGTGCGTGTACGTGCGTGTACGTGTACGTGTACGTGACCGACCTGGTGGAAGGCGGGGTCGTGCGGCAGGCGCAGCACGGTGCGCAGCGCCAGCTCGGCGTTGGCTCGCACGTAGGTGTTCTTGTACGTGCGTGCGTGTACGTGCGTGTACGTGTACGTGTACGTGTACGTGACCGACCTGGTGGAAGGCGGGGTCGTGCGGCAGGCGCAGCACGGTGCGCAGCGCCAGCTCGGCGTTGGCGCGCACGTAGGTGTTCTTGTACGTGCGTGCGTGTACGTGCGTGTACGTGTACGTGTACGTGACCGACCTGGTGGAAGGCGGGGTCGTGCGGCAGGCGCAGCACGGTGCGCAGCGCCAGCTCGGCGTTGGCTCGCACGTAGGTGTTCTTGTACGTGCGTGCGTGTACGTGCGTGTACGTGTACGTGTACGTGTACGTGACCGACCTGGTGGAAGGCGGGGTCGTGCGGCAGGCGCAGCACGGTGCGCAGCGCCAGCTCGGCGTTGGCTCGCACGTAGGTGTTCTTGTACGTGCGTGCGTGTACGTGCGTGTACGTGTACGTGTACGTGACCGACCTGGTGGAAGGCGGGGTCGTGCGGCAGGCGCAGCACGGTGCGCAGCGCCAGCTCGGCGTTGGCTCGCACGTAGGTGTTCTTGTACGTGCGTGCGTGTACGTGCGTGTACGTGTACGTGTACGTGACCGACCTGGTGGAAGGCGGGGTCGTGCGGCAGGCGCAGCACGGTGCGCAGCGCCAGCTCGGCGTTGGCTCGCACGTAGGTGTTCTTGTACGTGCGTGCGTGTACGTGCGTGTACGTGTACGTGTACGTGACCGACCTGGTGGAAGGCGGGGTCGTGCGGCAGGCGCAGCACGGTGCGCAGCGCCAGCTCGGCGTTGGCTCGCACGTAGGTGTTCTTGTACGTGCGTGCGTGTACGTGCGTGTACGTGTACGTGTACGTGACCGACCTGGTGGAAGGCGGGGTCGTGCGGCAGGCGCAGCACGGTGCGCAGCGCCAGCTCGGCGTTGGCTCGCACGTAGGTGTTCTTCTCCTTGGTGCCGTTGACGAGCGCGGGCAGCAGCACGCGCAGCACGTCCGGCGCCGCCTCGCGCCCCACCAGCGAGCTCGCGCGCGCCATCAGCTGCTTCACCTCGTTGCTCGAGTGGTTCATGCTCTGCGACGACAACCGACCAAATTACCACTCAATGCCATCACTGGCGAACTAACAGTCCACATGATATCAAGTCGTTATGTGCTTGCCATGCTCAGAAATGGAGAATGGCAATATGGGACAAGGAGTAAAATAAGTAACCTGTGCATCTCTCGACATTCGGCCGGAATAACCGCAATGATAGTGGGCCATGAGAAGGTGGAATCCATCTGAAATGTGGCTACTGCAACCACCTGACCAGCCGACGAACGTCATGTCAACAGTGGAAAACGAACTAACAGTCAAACAATGAAAGCTACAGATGTGATGGCATCTCTGAGGACTTAGATAGAAGGCCACCCAGTCTGTGTGACTCTCCCTTCAGACTTCTGGTCTCGGGTGGGGTGCACGCTGCTTGGACCAAGACAGACTACACATAGTACTCGACAGGTTGACATGGCAATCGGGATATGGACTGAAGCGAGGGGGAGGGGACACCACGCATATGCACATAGCTAGCGCCATCTTAGTCTTACCGCTGCATTTATCAATTTCGGTCTCGCTCACATTGTTCTTTGTTGTTGTGTATTAAAATGACTTCGGTCGCTTTTTCGTCACGTGTTAAAACTAAAAAGAGACAACAATTGACAATGCACACAAAACACGAGAACTAGCCAAAAAAGTATAAAAAAATTATGAATGGAAAAAACAGTTATTATAAATACCCTGTCAATCAGACATTGGATAGGGCCAAGTTTCACATCGGCTTATCTAAAAGAACTTTGTCCAGAAAAACAATTAATCGCCCACAAGACGGAAGAAATCAGGCCAAAAATTTTGTGTAGACAATTTTGATCGTAATTCATATCAATATAACATATTTTTATTTACAAGACAAAATCGTTCTGACATGTCCCAAGCTACTTGTTGCGTTACGCGAAAAAATAGAGGTGTTTGAACGTTCCTTGGGCAGTTTGTACGTTACAACAGCTGTTGAAAAAATGGGCTACAGGTGGTGACAGTGTCAAACCAAACGATCTGTTTTAATTGAAAAGCTAGATTTAGTTTACAAACGTTATCAATATTTAAAGAAAATTAGAGAATTCCGACAACACAACAGAAAAATGGTTTTTTTAGATGAAACGTGGGTGGACAATAATTTAACGTTCAAACAAAAAGATCAAAAAGAAATCCTCACAGATACTAGTTCTGGAAATAAAGTCATAGTAGTCAGCGCAAGAGACAAAAACGGATTTCTTTCGGGGGCTTCTTTGATATTGAAGGCCGGTACTACTACCGGCTACTATCATGGACAAATTAATGGCGAGAATTTTGAAAAATGGGTAGTCGAAAAGCTTTCGCCTTCAATTCCTGACCGCAGTGTCGTGGTAACGCACCTTACCAGTGTCCAGCTAAATAAGCCCACAACAAAAAGTTCGGTAATGTCATTGAGGAAACCAGATTTATTTGAAACCAAGTTTAAATATTATTTAAATAATTTAAAATTAAAAAATATCAGGCGGACTGTGTGTCCGTTTGACCTTAAAAAACAACGAGCTAGCTGGTGGACTCACCCTGACGAACTGCGATAGGATGTTGGGCGGCACTTGGCGCTGGTTAGCAAGCAGGTACCGCATGAGGTATCCCATGCCGCGTACTGCGTTGCAGGCGACTTGCGGGCGCTCGCTGGCTAAGTGGTTGAGCAGCGCGCGCTCCACCTTCTCCTCGAAGGGCTCGCGGTAGATGTGGTCCGGGCTCTCCTTGAGCGCCACGAACAGGGCGCACGAGCGGCCGTGCTGCAGCAGCCAGTCCGCGTCGGGCGCGCTGCCCAGCACGTGGTGCTGCACGGCGGCGTCCCGGTGGGCCACCGGCAGGCAGTGCAGAAGAGCCCCTGCACAGATATTTGACTAAATTAAACATTTTTTCAAGGGAGTAACTTTCAAAAACAGTAGTCACTCAAAGTGACATGAACGAAGGGGAGAGTTTTGACTGGAATTTGACCTCCGGTGGATTAATGCTTCTATTTTGTCGTTTAAATAATTGTTTGACTTAGAATGGTGCAATTTTTTGTATTAAATGTCTGTCATGTGTATATGCATTGTTTTGGGTAAAATTTTTGATCAAAGCCCTAGTAATCAATGCCATAATAAAAGAAAAAATTGTGTAAAGGGTAATTGACCTGATCAATTAACAGTGTTGATGCTGTGAAATGTTCCAAATATCAGATAATTAAAAGATAAAGATAAAACACTTAACCATAAAAAATATTTCTTTCTATGTGTAGCAATTGTATAAATCATTTAAATGTACAATGTTTAGATTTTCTATATATTATGTATTATTAACATAACAAGTTAACCTTAACAACAAAACCAGTTTTGTACTCAACTTTTTGGCTAACTTCATCAATGGGTGAATGAGCTTCAGTAATATATATTATATTTCCTAGCAGAAATAAATACGTATAAATTGCCACTATAATTTTACGAATTTTATCACGTATATTAACTTATTTTATATTCCCGACGTTTCGAGCACTTTACAGCACCCATGGTCACGGGAGGGACTAAGGTGTTTGACCTCCCAATGTCATAGTTAACCACGGCTACCTCCAGATTAAAGATTATTAATTTTTGTTCCGATCTACGCAGTATGAACTTACAGTATCTTGGTCTTATAGTTGTATGCTTGGGTTGGGATTTAATTTTAGCAGTACAGGATCGCCCCCGTCAGTAAATTGGATTTGATAGACCACAAATCCTCGCTAAAGAACACCGATTCCTTCCAAGGATGATTCGCGAGGCTATTGAAATAAAAAAAACCATCCTAATTTCAATAGAAAAGATGGCTGGGTACTACCATCTGCTTGAGATCTCATAATTAATAAAATTATATCCCAACCCAAGCATACAACTTTAAAACTTCAAGATACTGTAAGTTCATACTGCGTAGATCGGAACAAAAATAAATAATTTTTAATCTGGAGGTAGCCGTGGTTAACTATGACATTGGGACGTCATACACCTCAGTCCCCCCCAGGGGGATGAAACTGCCATACAAATTTACAAGAATAAAAAATGCATTCAAAGTTCTGCCCTCTAGTGAACTAGGTACATAAACTTGTAGGCTAGTTTTGTTCAGCGTCGTATAGATGGCGTTAATTTGGCCAAACTCCAGAATCCAAAGCCAAAAAAACCTAAATCTATGGCAGTTTTGGTCTATGGTTATGGTTGACACACTCGGTTGACAGTTCTTTCTAATAAATACGAATATTATTGATACGATAATTCAGAAAACGAAAATATTTTGCAACTTTTCGTTCCTCTCTTGTGAAAATCATAATTTAGGCTTTATGATTATTTACTAAATTTAATAAATGTGGTTATTCACAGTTTATGCACCAATGTTAACAGGCTGCTAAATGGAAAATTATTAACTACTGATTTGTGATTGTGAAAATGATAATGTCAACACTCCAGCTATTCAATATTATAACATTCATAAAAGAAAATAAATACATAATTAAAATTCTGTTCAGTGTTTGATATTAATATTAAAATAAAATCTTATGTGAAAAAGGTTAAGTTTTATTAGTGTTAATGTTATCTGCAAAATTACCATTTGGATATTTAAGATAATCATTGGAGATATCCAATAATTGTCTGGTAGAATACATAAACTGAAACATTATTAATAAAACTGACATTCATTGACAAAATACGCCATCTAGTAGTAACCATGTAGTAACTACCGCAAGCCGCGTTGTACTAAAGAATACAGCGGCATCTAGCGTACAAGGTACACTCATTCGAAATTGAAATGTGAGTGACGCATCTATCTCTGGTATATAGTGTATTATCTATGGTCCCCCCCCGTGACCATGGGTGCTGTAAAGTGCTCGAAACGTCGGGAATATAAAATAAGTTAATATACGCGATAAAATCCGTAAAATTAGTTTTGTTTAAATGTGTAGTGTTCGCGTAAATATAAGAAATCATTATCCTTGTTCTTCTTTCATACATATAATGCAAATATAAGTGAAATTCAACCTAAATATGTATATAAGTTAAGGATCATTTGGCACTTTTAAATAAAGTACTGCTATACAATGTGTAAAATAAAATATGCAATACTATTTAACATTACAAATATTCCTTTTAGTCACTCCTGGCAAATATAAAATATTTGTGTTACGAATGGTTCACAACAGTAATCAAATAGTGGACACGAACGACAAACTTTTGAGCTCGCGGTTAGCACCCTGCCATTAGGCCGCTGTCCCCTTACAGTTTGAGTTATTAATCTACACTAATATTATAAAGAGGTAAAGTTTGTAAGTGTGTGAGTTTGTTTGTGGGAAGTAATCACTAGAACTATTGAACCGATTTCAAACACTTTCACCAGTAGAAAGCTACATTATTCCTCAGTGACATAGGCTATATTTGATTGTGATTAATAATATTTTTTAATGTAAAATAACAATATTTGTCAATCAACTCCGAAAATAAATCCTAAACACTCAGTGCTAAGACCACCAATATAATTTCATCACGAGTAAATATGTTTGACGCTAACAAAGTGAGCACGGGTCAACTAGTCCTGTATAAATTGACATTAAAACTGACCTAGACAGCCTCCCACGGCACTTCGCGGCGGATCGTCTGGATGTGCCAGCAGCGCTGGACTCGTCAGCGTCGTGAGGATGCTTAGGGCCAGTTGCTCCGACATTTTCTCCCCGCCTCCAGTGATAATACTTCGCAGAGCTTGCAGCATGGTCTCTCTTATCGCAGGGTCATCTGTGTTCTTAATGCCATTGTGCATTTCCACGAAGAGCGGGTCAGCCCTGGTGTGAATGAGTACGAGCTGGGAGAGAGCGAGACCGGCTTTGATGCGGACTGGCCTGTTGGGGTCATTCAGAGCCTTCAGGAATGTAGTTTGCAGCTGTGGTAGGAACTGTTTCAGCATGACGCCGACCTAGATAAAAAAGTAGTCTTTAGTTCTTTATAAAGTTATTAGTTATGTTCTAAAAAAAAAAAAGATCAAATTAATATTCGTTAATATCACCAAAGAACTGTTATTTAAGACAAGAAATGTCTTAATTTCCATCCAACCATCCATGCATTACAGCCTATAAAAGTCCGCTGCTGAAAATAGAGTTCCCCCATAGATAACCTCATTGGGAGGATTTTGCCATAGTTTGCCTCTGCCCTAATTATAGCTTTCTCTGATGCCCCATGTTTGCATGACTTTTTTGGCGGCAGGGCGGCGCCACTTAAAAGTGAGGTGTAATATTTGACAGTTTTCATAGCGGGGAAGTTAATTTGATTGAAAAATGTAAAGGTTAATGTTTCGTTCTGTACTATTGGTTATATTTTATAAAAAGGCTGGTGGTTTATTCTTATTCAATATCTCCTCAACAAGACCAGTGTGGATTTTAAAAGGTATTAAGAAATAAACGGGGGTTGGGGGTGGGGGAGGTAAACATACCTTCGAGAGTAGTTCGGCAAGGGTCTCGAGAACAGCGGCCTTGACAGCGGCGTTGAAGCGGTCGCCCAGGATACGGATGAGCGGGCCGGTGACGTGCACCACGGACGGCTGCAGTGCGGCTGCCGACGTGAGCCGGATCACCTCGCCCAGCATCAGGGCCGCGTTCTCCTTGTCTTCCGGTAGCCCGTTCAGGATCGACTCCCGGAACAGCGGCAGGATAGGCGCGATACCCTGATTCCAAAGATACGAAAATAAACATTACAAGAGCGGTTACACTACACTACATTAAGACGTAGTTACACAAAAACGATCCTAACCACTCTCCGTCAACACCGAGTTAAATAATGCATACTATTTTTTTATGGGATAGGGTGACAAACGAGCACACAGTCCACCTGATGGTAAGTGGTTGCTGTAACCCATAGACATCTGCATCTATCTTCGTTGGTGAATTAAAATGCAGATGCATTGTCAGCGGTGAGGACTAAGATAGAATGCCTCTTTTCCAGTTAAAAGGGTCTCCGGTTCTCTACACTCATCATACGAAACACAGCAGCATTAAGTAATCGTCCACCCGCGCGGTAGAACGCACGCTCTCGACTGTGTGTGCGGTGCGATCCGACCCCTTTTAAAAAAGAGGTCCGAAATGGCAGGTGCAGATATTGTGAAGTGCTCGAACTGTAATATTGTTATTAATGAGCTGCTGACTTTTGTTAGGCATGTTATTGACTACACGGATGAGGAGAGTATTCACCAGCTGTGTACCACAACATTCTCAGAGGAGGACATTGTAAAGGCTAAAACCCTTCTTTTTGAGTCAGTAGCAAATGCTAAGAAAATGCCTATGAGGAAGAAGCACGGGAAGAAGCGAAAATCACGGGACCTGGACGATATTATTGGGTTAATGAAGAGTGCTGATCCAACAAAATTTCCGATTTTCTGTGCGCGGAATCTAGATTTGATACCCCCGGTGACTTACGATCATGTGGACGTCACCCGATTTATTAAGGAGTTGTTGTCGCTTAAAAACAGATTAAACGTGTTGGAAGAAAATGCTGTTAATGCCGAGGAGTTCAGCCTTCTTAAGCGGGAGGTGTCTCATATGAGGCATGCATCGTTAGTTGACGAAACCCATTTTAAAGTAAATAAAAGGAGAGGCGCGTGCTTTCAAAGTAGTTTCGATTACGACAGTGGACCGATCGGACTGCCTTATGTGCCTGAATATACTTCGATAAAATCACAGAAATCAGCTGTTATCGAGGTAAACAATCGACCTTCTATGAGTCATAATACTTGTTCAAAAGGAATAGTTATGGATAATTCTGTCTCACTCGCTAGCAAACAAGATGAAGCGATGGAATCATTGCAACACGTGGAGGCCAGTACTGCGGTTCCAAACATACTAAGTCTGGCTGAAGGAGCTGTTATAGGTGCAAGTAGGTTGGCTATTGCGTGTGCGCCGAGTGCATCCGAGGCGAAAGGGAGCGATCATCGGTCAAGTACGGCAAACGACATTAGTAAAAGTAAAAGTGTAAACGAGATGGAACGAGAGTTGACATCTCTCGCCGAGGCCAGCACTGCGGTATTGAACACACCGAGTCCGAGTAGCAATAACACCAATAGCATAGGTGCAAAAAGGACGGCGAATGCGCAGGGTACTTCCAATATGAAAAGGAGCGGTTGTCGGACAATATCGCCAAAAGGTGGTAGTGCAGGAGGAAACGAGACGGCGCGGAGAGTATTAATACCGCCACACGCGGAATCTCCTTTGCGTGCTACGGTCGGTGGCCGGTTAGCTGTACGGACTGACAATGTGTGCGTGACGGAGACAAGCGGAGGCCCTACTAATGGAAATCGATCGAGACCAACGCATGACTTTGGAAGCGGCATTATTGGTGTCCGTGTTAATAGTGGTGAAAAACATGAGCAAATGCTAGGGGACTCAGAATGGCAAGTTGTAAGAAATAAATCTGCTAAACGATATAAGTTAATAGGGCAGAAAGGATGTGCTCCTACTGCTCCGAATGGTAAATTTAAAGCTGCAGATATAAAGATACCAATTTTAATATCGAATGTTAGTAAAGATACAAGTGAGGAGGATATCATTAACTATATAAGGGAAAAAACTAATGAATCTGTATCATTAAAAAAGATAAATATGAGAAAAACAAAATTATATAACTCCTATAAACTGTATGTCTCGAAATTTAAAATAGATACATTTTTAAATGATAATTTGTGGCCAAATGGTATAACTTTCAGACGTTTTGTTCGTTTTATGTATAAAACGAAACTAAATAATGTAAATATTTCATAGTTAAATAGTTAAAGTTAAAATATTATATCTACATGAATTTAATGCTAAATCCAACTTTGAATTTTGTTAGTTTTAATTGTTATTTTGTTTCTAGATCTTTAAATGACCTACAGAGTATATGTAAAAAATCAGATGTGGTTGCGCTGCAGGAGACTTGTCTGCTCCCCCACGATATACCGGTACTGGGAACTATTTCAAATGATTTTGAATATACAGGGAAGTCGGCGGTGGACACGTCTACCGGCCCTCTGATCGGAAGACCGTATGGGGGGGTAGCGATACTTTGGAGAAAGGGAATTTTTGACGGCGTGTCTATAATAAAGTGCACGAATGATCGCATTGTAGCTATTAAAGCCAGTATTGGGCGGCGAGCGATTCTGGTTTTTTCCGTATACATGCCAACTAACTCACTAACCAATCTACCCATATTTACCGATGTGCTGAGCGAAATAAACGCTATAATTGATAATGAAAATGTTGAGAGTGTATTTATACTGGGAGATTTTAACGCGCATCCCCACGAACTGTTCTATAATGAACTCATAACCTTCTGCTCGGAGCAGAGCTGGGTCTGCGCCGATGTTGAAAAACTAGGTGAGCAAAGTAACACTTATACATACGTAAGCGCTGCGTACGGATGCCGTAGGTGGTTAGACCATTGTTGTGTGACAGACCTTGCGTGGCAGACTGTAGTGGAAGTGGAAGTAATGGAAGACGTCTTTGTGTCGGATCACTTACCACTAATTGTAAAGTGCGATTTAAGCTGTGTAAGACCCAAGTTGGCATCACCTAGCCTACAACGAAGCACGGTAATATGGGGAGAGCGAGGCGAGGCACAGATAACTAAGTACCATGATCTATGTAATAATAGTATGCGCGAAATTGATTTTCCTTCTGAGTTTACGGAGTGCAGCCGCGGAATGTGTAGCTTGAGTGAGCACGAAAAAGTACTAGATCGCTTGTATCAGAATATTGTACATGCCCTAAGCGACGCGGCAAGTAAGTCGAGTAAGACTCGTGGAGGAAGGAAGAGCAATAACAGGCATTTATGTGGGTGGAACAAGCATGTTTATGATGCTCACAAGCAGGCCAGGCTTAACTATCAAGTTTGGTTGCTGAATAATCGGCCTAAGTCTGGTAGAATCTATGAGCAGATGTACGAATCGCGTAAAATATTCAAAAGTCGACTAAAATGGTGCCAACAAAATCAAGACCAACTTAAAATGGACGTTTTGGCCAAACATAGATCTGCTAAAAATTTTGATCGTTTCTGGAAGGCAACAAAAAAGCTTGATGTTAAGTCTGGTTTGCCAACAAGTGTGGAGGGGGAGAATGAGCCTGCTCATATTGCAGAAATGTTTAGGGCTCATTTTAAAGTCAACTCACCACTGGGCCCCTCGGTTCCTACTTTTAGCAAGCCTTTGTGTCAGGGAGAAAATAAACTAGTGCATGTTACAGCTGAACAAGTGCGAAATGTACTTAAAAATATGACTGGTGGCAAGTCTCCTGGACATGATGGCATTAGCGTTGAGCATCTTAGGCATGCTGGTGTTCACCTTCCGAGGGTTTTGGCGCTGTTTTTCACAATGTGTATCAGACATTCCTATTTACCGCAAGAAATGTTAAAAACAATTGTGGTGCCCATTGTGAAGAATAGAACTGGTGACGTCTCGGACATGAAAAATTATCGTCCAATTTCATTGGCAACGACGATTGCTAAGGTGCTGGACGGTGTGCTTAATTCTTACCTTGAAAAAATAGCTAAGCTACATGACGCACAGTTTGGGTTTCGGTCTGGGCTATCTACTGAGAGTGCAATTGTAAGTTTAAAGCACACTGTCCAGTACTATACTAATCGCGGGACACAGGTGTATGGCTGTTTCCTAGACCTGTCAACGGCATTTGACTTAGTGTCTTATAACAAATTGTGGGCAAAGCTGGAGGACAGAGGACTACCGGTTGAATTGCTAAATATATTTAAGTTCTGGTATGCCAACCAGAAAAATTGTGTAAAATGGGCCGACTCTCTCTCGGAAGAATATGTGTTGGAGAGTGGGGTAAGACAGGGAGGCTTGACGTCTCCCACACTCTTCAACATATATATTAATGATCTCATTGTCAGGTTGAGCAGTATGCGTGTCGGATGCCGTATTGATGGAGTAAGCACCAACAATATAAATTACGCTGATGACAGTGTACTGCTCTGTCCAACTGCGGGGGGTCTTAACGAGATGCTAAGGGTTTGTGAGAAATATTCTGCTGAGCACGGGCTCATATACAATGTAAAAAAGACAGAATGCATGGTGTTTAAGGCCGCTGGTAAATGTCCCGATAAAGTCAATAACATTACCCTGAACGGCGTGAACATACAACGTGTATCAAAATTTAAATATCTGGGACATATAATTACTGACGACCTTAAAGACGACGCTGACATAGAAAGGGAACGTAGGGCTCTGTCAGTAAGAGGCAATATGTTGGCTCGCAGATTCTATCGTTGTAGCGAAGACGTAAAAGTGACCCTTTTTAAAGCGTATTGCCAAAACATGTACACGGGAAATCTGTGGACCAGCTATACCAAGAAGTCGCTGGACACCCTACGAGTCCAATATAATAATGTGTTCAGGATGTTGTTGGGATTGCCTCGTTTCTGTAGTGCATCAGCGATGTTTGCAGAATACCAAGTTGACGACTTTGCAGCCATTATTCGCAAAAAAACCACATCGCTGATATTTAGAGCGCGAGGCAGTCCCAATAGCATTCTGCAAACCCTGGCAGATAGGTATACTTCTCCGCTTTGGGCCTGCTTTGTGAGGAGGGTTATTTTAAAACACAGTTATTTAAATTAAATTCAAATTGACCTCATCTGATTTTATTTTGATATTTTATTTTATTTTGATTGTATTTAATCTAATTTAATTAAGACATTATTGGATTTCGATTGATTTTTATTTGATTTTTTGTTTGATTGTATTTAATGTAATTTAATTTTGACATTACTATTATTTGATTATTATTTTATTTTTATTTTTGATTTTATTGTAATTTAATTTTGGGTATAGATTTGATTTTAGTTTTGATTTAATTTAATTAAATTTATTTAATGTTCTCAATTACTAACCTAATATAAGTCATACTAACAACTTATGGATCTTTGATATCTGAAATAAAAAAATTATTTATTATTAAATTATTTATTAAGCTGCTATTTTACGCTGGTAGTCTGTGAGAGCGTGGACCCATTCGTGCTATAACTATTAACATGGCTGCAGCATGGCTCTACCACGTAAAAAATAATAAAAACAAATATATATATGAAAGTCTAGATCCCAAGCATTATTAATATTTTAGATATATACATTCATACCGTGAAAATAACTTCAGTATTAGTCACTGTAAATAAGGAAAACAAATAATCTAGCCGTTACCATTGAATACCAATCCAAACTTCAAATCTCAATAATGCAAAAGCAGCATTTTGTAAGTTGAATTCTTCTTGTGTAACCATGTTCATTCAGTTTACGTGGGTTGTGACGTGTGATTAATAGGTAATCCTTGTGATTAATATATAAGCCTTTTTAAAAATAAATATTCTAATTACATATGTATAAAGAAACATTAGAGAAAGAAAAATAAAAGGTGGTTGCTTTGTTTCATCATAGTATTTTTTAAGTTAATATTTATAAAAGCAAATAGTTATAAGTTGAATAATAATAAAACATATGTAAGTTAGAAACACCTATAGCTATATATTGATATTACATATTTTATACTAGCTGTCCCCTGCAACTTCGCCTGCGTGGAATTTACTATGGGTTCATGGGTTTTAATTTGTTTTCGCGGAACCGTGATTTTTTTTTTCTAAAATAAAAGTCCTAAGTTACTCCTTATAATATCAGATATTTGTCAGTCAAAGTCCCGTTAAAATCGGTCCAGCCGTTTTGGAGATTAGCCGGAACAAACAGACAGACAGACAAACATTTAAATTTTTTTGTCATTGGTACCGTATATATATACTGTCATATGCATTTAGTAAAAATGCTGTTATTTTAACATTACAAACAGACATTTCAATTTTATTTATTTGTATAGATAAGTAGATTCAAGATCAAGATTTCATTTTAATTAGGTTTTATTCATAATATATACATATATAATATGGTTATAATGACACTGTTAGTGTTGTTTCAATAATGTGTTTCTTTTTTGTATAAGTGTGAGTTGTGTAAGTAAAGTGTAGGTGGCGGGGTGGGATGGGGCGGTACCTTGGGCAGGCAGAAGCCGGGCAGCAGGTCGCCGGGGCGCAGGTCGGCGGCGGCGTAGCGCACGGCCTGGCGCACGTCGGCCACGTGCTGCAGCTGCCGCTCCGCGTCCAGCGTGCGCGTCAGCGCCGACAGCGCCTCCCACGCCATCTGCAACGCACTCACCCATTGAGAATACACCCAACGCAATGTACATACACTACTCTATTTCAATCCTTGGTTGTCATAAGAGGCGACTGGGGGAAACAAATCATAAGATGGGCAGGGACGTCTTCCTAACAGCGACTAAAAATAAAATACTGCGGTTGCCAACCAGCTTTCCAAGCGTACCTACTATGGAAAATATCCCCCTATGAGGCAATACATGTGGGAAACCTATATTCAGCAATGGACTTTATTAAGCTGCAACGGTATACTCATTGATTTATTTCAATATAATTATATTAAAATGAATTATGAATTCATTTTAATTATCTTCCTTTGTGCTAAATCGCTCATGTGAAATAAGATCAATACCTTAGTTGTTGTTCAAAGTCCATATTCTTATATAAGCAATTAAAATAAAGTTTTGAGTGATTACCGAACTATTCTTTATAGAATAAGTGTGATAAACAAGCACACAGTCCACTTGATGGTAAGTGTATGTTAATCCATAAACATCTAAATTTGTCTTCGATTAGGAATTAAAATGCAGGTGTGTTGTCACCTCTGAGAATTAAAATGGAATAAGTACTTCATATTTAGAAAAAGGGTCTCCGATTCTTTACACTCACCATACGAAACACAGCAGAATTAAATTGCTATTTTACATTGGTACTCTATGAGAGCGTAGTTCTTTCCCGGTCGAGTCGACTCATTCGTGTTACAAAGATAATACCGTTTATATAATTTGAAGAACATGCATGTCTAAAGCAGGATTTAAATTACAAAATTAAATAAATACATAATTGAATATGTATATCACTTTATATACCTACACAATGTGTGGTTTACCATATTTTCGATTGTGAAGGAAAATATGAGTGAAGGCCAGCTGTGCGCTCTGTGTACGAGTGCGACACGCACACGCACTCACCTGCAGCACGTCGCGCTCGGTGTCCGCGAACAGCAGCAGCAGGCCGCGCAGCAGCTGCGGCACGTGCGGGCCCAGCTCCGCGCGCGAGTGCGACACGCACACGCACTCACCTGCAGCACGTCGCGCTCGGTGTCCGCGAACAGCAGCAGCAGGCCGCGCAGCAGCTGCGGCACGTGCGGGCCCAGCTCCGCGCGCGAGTGCGACACGCACACGCACTCACCTGCAGCACGTCGCGCTCGGTGTCCGCGAACAGCAGCAGCAGGCCGCGCAGCAGCTGCGGCACGTGCGGGCCCAGCTCCGCGCGCGAGTGCGACACGCACACGCACTCACCTGCAGCACGTCGCGCTCGGTGTCCGCGAACAGCAGCAGCAGGCCGCGCAGCAGCTGCGGCACGTGCGGGCCCAGCTCCGCGCGCGAGTGCGACACGCACACGCACTCACCTGCAGCACGTCGCGCTCGGTGTCCGCGAACAGCAGCAGCAGGCCGCGCAGCAGCTGCGGCACGTGCGGGCCCAGCTCCGCGCGCGAGTGCGACACGCACACGCACTCACCTGCAGCACGTCGCGCTCGGTGTCCGCGAACAGCAGCAGCAGGCCGCGCAGCAGCTGCGGCACGTGCGGGCCCAGCTCCGCGCGCGAGTGCGACACGCACACGCACTCACCTGCAGCACGTCGCGCTCGGTGTCCGCGAACAGCAGCAGCAGGCCGCGCAGCAGCTGCGGCACGTGCGGGCCCAGCTCCGCGCGCGAGTGCGACACGCACACGCACTCACCTGCAGCACGTCGCGCTCGGTGTCCGCGAACAACAGCAGCAGGCCGCGCAGCAGCTGCGGCACGTGCGGGCCCAGCTCCGCGCGCGAGTGCGACACGCACACGCACTCACCTGCAGCACGTCGCGCTCGGTGTCCGCGAACAGCAGCAGCAGGCCGCGCAGCAGCTGCGGCACGTGCGGGCCCAGCTCCGCGCGCGAGTGCGACACGCACACGCACTCACCTGCAGCACGTCGCGCTCGGTGTCCGCGAACAGCAGCAGCAGGCCGCGCAGCAGCTGCGGCACGTGCGGGCCCAGCTCCGCGCGCGAGTGCGACACGCACACGCACTCACCTGCAGCACGTCGCGCTCGGTGTCCGCGAACAACAGCAGCAGGCCGCGCAGCAGCTGCGGCACGTGCGGGCCCAGCTCCGCGCGCGAGTGCGACACGCACACGCACTCACCTGCAGCACGTCGCGCTCGGTGTCCGCGAACAACAGCAGCAGGCCGCGCAGCAGCTGCGGCACGTGCGGGCCCAGCTCCGCGCGCGAGTGCGACACGCACACGCACTCACCTGCAGCACGTCGCGCTCGGTGTCCGCGAACAACAGCAGCAGGCCGCGCAGCAGCTGCGGCACGTGCGGGCCCAGCTCCGCGCGCGAGTGCGACACGCACACGCACTCACCTGCAGCACGTCGCGCTCGGTGTCCGCGAACAACAGCAGCAGGCCGCGCAGCAGCTGCGGCACGTGCGGGCCCAGCTCCGCGCGCGAGTGCGACACGTACGCGCACAGCAGCGCCGCGGCTGCGCGACGCTTCTCGCCTGTGCTCGTGCGCACGCACTCCAGCAGTGTGTCGATAATGCTGTGAGGGTAACCGGCATTTAGTGAACATGATAAAACTTTCTACGAGGAAGAGTCGACGAAGAGAGTGTAGAAGTAGCTCAGAGATATATATGTACTACGTACTAGATTTCGCATTTCGAACATTGACTATGTTCAACTCAAGTGTACTGCAATCCGTACATTATATATACTAAATATTGCGTAAATTGATTTGTGAAATCCATAAAATAATTATTATTACATTTTATTTATAAATATGTTTGTTTAGATTAAAATAAGAATATTTTATATTAAATTTTTATATTTATTTTATATTGATATTTTATTTTATATTAAAGTTTACTCTATGTATTCGCGCATGCGCGGGAGATGTAGCGATAGTGCGCGAATACATAGAGTAGTGCGCAATTTTTGTGTTGGAATAGCTTGTGCAGTAGGTAGTAGATATAAGTGAATGAAGTGGGTAGTGACCATCGCACGCCGACGTCGTCGACGACGGGCAGCAGCGCGTCGCGGCACTGGTCGAGCTCGCGCGCCTCGGCGGGCGTGCCGCGCGCCGCCTGCAGCGCGCCCAGCAGCGCCGGCAGCACGCGCGGCAGGTGGCGCGACAGCGCGCCGCCCGCCGCCGCCGCCAGCGCAGACAGCGCGCGCGTGTCGGCCGCCCCGCCCCCGCCGCCCCCGCCGCCCGTCAGCACCGGGATCAGGTACGGCAGCACCGCGCGCGACTTGATCGCCATTATCTGCAACAAACACATACAATTTTATTCATTCATCTACTAGCGATCCGTACAGATTTCGCACGGCTGAATTCTGGACCTCCACAACACCACCACCTACCGGGTTCAATTGTCAATCTAACCCCGCCTATACACCATCGGACATGATTGTCAACCACAGAATGGGGCATGATTGTCACAATCATTGCTCGTCTGCCTATACAATCATGCATCCTACATAATTATTTGTATTGTTATCTGTCCGAGATGGACGTTGAAACAGTAGCCACTGCCGCTATTTATTTTAGTTTATAATATTACTGAAGTATAGAGTGATGAAAAAAGGGAAGTTATTCTATTTTTACTTGTTCTATTTCGGTGTATGTTAAATATACACTAAAATAGAACAAGATAAGTTTATAAATCATCGGCGTTCGGCGATCATGTAAGCGCACGCACGATCATAACCGAACTGCCTTTGATGTTTGTCCGAAAAACCGACACAGCGACGATTACACTCAATCATTATCGATCATGAGCAGTTATAAGCGATTATGCCCCCTACACAATCGTGATCATTAGAACTCATCCATCATGGCCGATGGTGTATAGACCCCATAAACCGTTCTCAAAACGACTTAATCACACACAAAATTTCATCAAAATCTTTTTCGATATTTTCGGTAATTTGTTGCCATCTTATAGATAGCAACATAAATAATCTCATTACTATAGAAACCTTAGGATTTTTAATCAAAAAAATGCGACAAATACTTTTAACAGTCCTCTCTTGTTGTTAACCTAACACTACCCAAAGAATTCTGAAGAGACCAAAACAGGTGAAAATCTAAGAATCCAAGTTCAACACTATAATATGTTGCATGCATTAACACTTCCCAACCACACTCCCTCAATTTTTGCTGAGTGGCCAAAGATATGTATGGTCTAACGTCATCATGATGAAAGACCACTCCTTTTCTGTTGATCAATACCGGCCGTTTCTTCTCAATTTCCTTCTTGAATCTCATTAGTTGTTGACAGTAAAGATCCGAATCCATGGTTTTGTCCAACGGTACATGTTCAAAATACTACCATACACACAGCATCATCTTATTGCGTGTTAATCTTTTGCGGCTCGAATCGTCGACGACATAGTCTTTTCCAATCGGCTAAATTCACTGGCGCTGCGAAAAAATGTTGCATTCCTTTGCATTTTCTTTCGTATCTACCACGGGGAGTGATCTGAGGAATTGTTCGGATTAATACTATCCATACCATCTGGATGCTTGGCGGTCCACCATTGTACGCTTCACGAGGTGTTTTCTTCCGCGTACGACCTCTCTGTAGAATAGTTTACCACCGACGATTTTTCCGGACCAATACTACTTAGAGACCTTCGAGAAAAAAGCTAACTCCTTTCTAAAATGCTGGCAATGCGCCTGCAATTTTCCTAGTGTTGCAGTTGTTCATGGGTGGCGGTATTCACTTACCATGAGGTGAGTCATATACTCATTTGCCCCATCTCCTATAAAAAAAACCGGATTTCGCTACAGGCTGTGCAGCTTGACTACCCTTTGACCATGATCTTTTTCGCACGTTCTTGTCGTAGATGATCAACGTTTTATCACCATGATCAATCTTTTCAGAAATGGTTCGGTTTCATTACGTTTTAATAGAGAATCGCAAATGAGTACATGATTCATTAGGTTTCTTTCAGAGAGCTCGTGTGGTACCCAAATATCAACTTTTTGCCAGACTTTTTCAAATGGGTCAAAACTGTTTTGTGGTCAATCCTCAATATTCCTTGGCTATGTCGTAACTACTAATATGCCGAACTTGCTGCATTTTTTCAAAAAAACATCAAAAAACGACCAGGGCGAGCTGCAACTTTGACATCAAAATTACCGGAATGAAAACGCTTGAACCAACTTTGTTCTACTCTTACTGACACTGCATTATACACGTCACAAATTTTTTTTCGCGGCTTGAGTCGCATTTTTCCCCTTTTTTGTAATACTACTTCAAAATGTATCGATTTCTTCGTTAGATTAACTTATTTTGGTGGACAGAAAAGTAACTGAAAAATGGCGGGAAAGTGGTTTTTTACTTTTAATTTTTCTTTTTTTAATGCCCTATATGTATTGATATTAAAACCAGCCAGATACAAACAGTACAACCAACTTACAATTACAATTACAACAAACAAAATACGGAATCCTCTGTCATATTATTAGTTAAAAAAACTCGGTATTGCATACAATTTCTAATTATTTTTTTTTCAGATTATAATTGTCTCAGATCAATCTGTAAGAATGGCAATGACGAGCGTTTTTTTATACTTTTTAAAAAATGTTACCCCCACACTAGGATTTTCTCCTGTATTGTGGAGGCAGTTTACAAACACTAATTGCACAAGGACAAACATCCCGATCCGGAGCAATTATTTGTAGGCCATACATACTTGTTCCCTGCGTATATACATTTGAACACGCTTCGGAATCAGATTATGAATTATTTCAGTTGACACTGCGAGCGGTAACGGCTAAATGTGTTGCGACTTGTAAGTTGTAATGTAGAACCACAGAATAAATAACAGTACAAGAACTGACTTTCCCTTATGATGAATCCAGTGTATGTGTTTGCGTCCCTTTTTATTATTATTTATGGTGTGCCTGACCTGAGAAACACGAGACTACTGATTTATCTGAATTTTTAAGATATGTGTGAGGCAGCTTGCCGGTATTCAAATTATGAATTCCGACTCTGAATTCAGAGGTATTACGAATGTGTGAGTCCAGCCCGAAAATAGTGAAGTCTGCAATCTGTAAACATGTTCAGTGATAGATCAGATAGATCAGACTTGGCCTACACATTGACAGCACGCTGAATTGGAGAACTCAGGTTACTGAAGTCAATCGTAAAGTCACTGCTACGTTACGTACTCTGTATCGTTTAAAACATTTTCTCCCCGCAAAGTCTAAGATCATGCTTGTCCAATCACTCATATTACCCACAATTAATATTAATATGCAGATGTGTGTTACCCGGATCTGTCCCAGGATCTTTTGAACAAGCTGGAACGCCTTCTCAATAACTGTATAAGATTTATTTTCGGGCTTCGTAAGTATGACCATATTTCGCAATATAGATCTAAGCTTAATTAGCTTACAATCCGGCAGAGGCGTATTTCCAGAATATTACTTGTTCTAATTTCCATATTAAATGACCCATTTTCGCCTTCTTATCTTAAGAGTAAATTTCACTATCTCTCCTCATCTCATGATAGGGTTCTACGTTCGTCTTCTAACAACAAAATATGTATTCCAGTTCACTTCACCGAGTTCTATGGTAACTCCTTTACAGTTCAGGCTGCACGCCTTTGGAACTCCTTGCCTGACGACATCAGAAAAGCTCCCAATAAGTTTGCTTTTAAAAAGTTGGTGCGTAATAATCTGTTAAAGACAACGCTTCTTAGATGAATCATCCATGTCATTTATATTTTAGACGTATATATTTATAGTTATTTATATGTACTATTTGTATATGTATATTGGTATGAATATATGTATGCTTATATATGTACGTATATATTTGTATACATGTATAAATAGGTGTTTAGGCCCAAACATGGGCATTTGAAAAGCCATCCAATTGCGTTTGACTAAGCGCATCGCCCGATGGTGTGAGGTGTCGTGCGCGCCGCCGGGGGGTGGCAGCGGTATGCCGCTTCCCGGCGTTCGGCCTCGTGGGCTAGCGACAATAGCTTGACAGCAGCGGTTCGGTCGATTAGCGTATTTTGTTGTGATCGTTGCATCGATTTTGCGCGACCAGTTTTTTGGTTTTGTGGTCTAGAATTTGAGTCTTTGTGCGCATTTAATTTACTATTAAATTTGGGTTTCGTGTAGACCGCCTCGAATTAGTTTGTCTAAGTTGTACGTTTCGTGACAAGAGGCTAGTATTGAATTTGAGTGATTAAAGTAATTTCGTTTGTAAGTAATTACGTCAATTTGTATAGTAATTGCATTTTGAAGTGCATTTTGCAATATTTAACTTGCTTGTGTGACGTGGAACCTTGCGCGCACGCCGAGTGGACATACGGTCTGGAATTTGATGCTCGCATTCCATTTCGAGGGCGTGGCCCGGTTAATTGTTTTTGGAAGTCATTTTTTAATTGTATCGTCGCGTTAAGAGCCTTTTGTGTGTTGACTCTGTAGTTAGTTTGCGTGTCAGCTAGGCTGATTTTGAATTCTTATTGCGGCGTAGTATTTAATATAGTACGAAGGAATTTAGTTTGTTGTTTGGAAACGCTGAACTTTGAGACTCGAGAAGAGACCGCGTTCGTACGTGTGGTTATAATTTTGTTGCTAAGGGAAAATGAATATTGAACTTTGAGCGACTGTTCGTTATTTGTGTCGGGTGTCACGTGTTTGATTTTGATGAACGTTGAATTGGTTGACCTTGAAGTTAATTATATGTACAATAAAGTTGATAGACTGAAATAGTGATATGAAGGCAGAAATTTTCCATGGGTGATCCACGACTTGAGGGAGCGCGTATTAGGAAAATCGGGCCGTCAGGTCACATATATAAACACTACTACACACCACTCACATGCACCTACACCTACCTACCGCCTGACCGAGCCTTGGGGCAGTCTTAGCTTCGGAACCAGGTACGTACTATTTATTTACCTAGCCTTATATCTATTGTGTAGAATAATAAGTCTTCATAGGCCATTGGGCCCCACCCTTAGTTGTCCGTCAAATCTACCTCTGATGGGCCCCGGGATATTTGACCTTTGTAGGGACAGCTAGGGGCGTGTACAATAGGATATATTTTTATAGTTTATTTATTGTATATATTAGTAAAATGTATATATAACGTAATTAATTATAAATTTCTATTTTGTTTTTATTCTATATTGCTACACCTACTTGAAATTCTCACCACTCCATGGGTTGACTGGTAGAGAATGTCACAAGGCATTAAGTCCGCCCTTTGGATTCTTTTATATTAAGGAATGCAATAAAGAGTAAATAAATAAAAAAAAAATAATACCGATGCGAACAAACTATTGAAATTAGAAAACATTTTTATTTCAATAGAGAAGATGGATGGGTGCTACTATTTGCTTGGGATCCTATAATTTATAAAATTTAATCCAAACCCAAGCATGCCACTGCAAAACTTCAATTACTGTAATCTCGTTCCGCGTAATGGACCAAAAATTAAAATTCAAAAACTGAATGACATTGGGACGTCAAACACTTCAGTCCCCTAAATAAAATTAAACGCGATAAAATTCGTAAAAATTGTCTGATTTTATTATCTGCTGTATGTTATAATGCCTAATTCTTGTTAGCAAAGCGAGGCCTGTACTCACTTGCTTGAGTCCGTCTAGTGCGGCGTCGGCCTTCTGGCGGTCGGGGTCGTGCAGCTGCGCCAACATCTGCGGCAGGATGTCGTCCAGCGCCTTGTTGCCGATGGTGGCGTGCAGCGAGTCGAACGTGCGCGCCGCCGCCACGCGCACCTCCGGCAGCTCGTCGCACAGCGCCGTGCGCACCGTCGGCACCTGCCGGTCGCGCGCCCACCGTTACTAACATACTGCCACAAATCTCAATCATATCAACTGTAAAACAACTTTACACAAAAGGCAAATCTATTTTTATATTGACCCCTCGAGCCGGATTTTATTAAATTTTTTCGGATTTTATTAATTTAAATTTTAACTTTTTATATTTATTCAAACACAGATTACTAAAAAAAATTAAGAAATGTATTTTGTATAGAAATTGAATAAATAATATTACATTAATGTACTTTATAATTATTTGTATTTAGATTGCATTTTTTGATACAAGTATCAAAAATATTACAGTAAAAAGAAAACAAGGTATAGTTATATCCAATCATATCAATTATCATATCAAATATAACGGTCAATTAGGAATGAGGTGAAATATTTGACAGATTTGATTTCATAGCGGTGAAAGTTAATTTGTTTGAAAAGTGTTGAGATTAATGTTTATTTCTGGATCACCTTTCTGGAGTAAACTAAGGATATACATAAAAGTACTTAGTGGAAGATTTAAGAACTTTTCTGTGTACACATGTACTAGAAACCGATTTTTTTTTTAATGTAGAATTTTACTATTCAGTAATAATCATAGTGTGATTATTTGCGTAATAAATAATTTCACCTCAGTCCCTACTAGCAACATCAGGATGAGTGTAAGATGATTATCCCTCATTAAACAAAATTGCCCGAAGGCTACACTAAGTAGAGAAGTTTTGTTTTGATAGTTAACGTAGCGTAGTGAGCACAATAACAAATAGTAAGTAATGAGAATGCGTTGTAGGAGAACGGACCAGTCCGTCGGCGAAGCTGAGCACGGCGTCGCGCGAGGTGGAGGCGAGGATCTCGCCGAGGCCGATGCAGACGCCCTGGCGCTGGTCGGCGCGCTCCGAGCGCAGCCCGCGCTCCAGGATCGGCACGATCTCCGGCAGCACGCGCTCGCCCAGCTGCACGCACGAAACAACAACACTCATTCTAATCTATCTAAATAAAAATTATTATATTTAATATTTTAACGAGCCTAAAAGTAGAACACAAGTAACTGTTCTATACTAGTACAATTATGTATTCATTGCCCACCCCCGCAGGGTTGCAGCCAAACGGTTAGCTTCTAAACTACCCAACCGTAATCCAAAAGCAAGTTGTGTAAAATTGCACATAACATTGTATTAAAGTTATACAATTCGTTTCTATTAAAATATTTTTTGACTGAGTGAGAATACCACTTGGCATTAAGTCCACCATATTATAGGTCCACCATACATTCAATGGTATGGAACTAACCAAAAAATTTAATTAAATAGAATTACATAAAGCTATAATTAAAAATTAAAAATTTTGTACAACCAACTTCAATATAAATTATTAAGAATAACTCGAAAACTATTGGTCAGACCTTGATCAAATTTATATGTAACCACATGTGAAACACCAGCTTTCAAATAAAAAAAGAATCATAGCAATCGGTTCTCCCAATAAAAAGTTATGAGGTAACACACATTAAAAAAACATACAGTCAAATTGAGTACCGGCTCCTTTTTGAAGTTGATAGAAAATTACACATTAAAGTTATTTTATTTATTTATTTATTTAAGCTTTATTTGCACACATACAAGAAATGTACAAAACGGCGGACTTAATGCCTAAAGGCATTCTCTACCAGTCTACCTTTGGTTTGTGCAGAGAATCTAGTGATGGGTGCAAAACTCATAATTAAAAAAAAATTTAAAAAATTAAAGGTTTAAGGAAAAAAAAATACAAAATTATAATATAATGATAATAAATACAATACACATACATATACATTTACATTACTACTTACATGCATACAATAGTATTTTATACTTGTACACAAATACCCACAATAAATACATACACAGTAAATAAATATGATATTTTTATATTATACATATTTGAGAATATAACAGTTTCCGAGGTTTTTTAAATTTTTTATTATTATCCGAAACTACTGCTGCTTCGTTAAGTAATATTCCCAGAGCAAACGTTTAAAGATAGGTTTAGTTTTTGCTTCTTTTATATTTCTGGGTAACATTATTTTATTATTTTCTTATTATTTTAAAATGATGTACAAATATTCTTATTTCTTATTATATTCAAATATTATGTACAGTCAAATACACATACAGAATCACTTTAATACAAAGAAATCGTGAATTCTTATACAATAAATTGTATATAAATCCTACTCATATTATAAATGTGAAAGTTTGTCAGGATGTATGGACGTTTATTACTCTTTCAGACAAAAACTACTGAATGCATTTTAATGAAACTTTACAATAATATAGCTCATACATCAGAATAACACATAAGCTGTAATTCATAAAAATATTGTGTAAATTTGACAAAATATAACGATAAATGTTATGTAAGTCTGATAAAATCTGTCATCTGCAATCTATTTTGGCGTGAACACGCATCACGCAAAAACCTGTGATCCAATTTGGATGGGACTTTCACTGGCAGATAGCACATTTTATAAGGAGTAATTAAGGCTAGTTTCATTTTAGGGTTCCGCGCAAAAGAAATCCACGCAGGCGAAGTCGTGGGGAACAGCTAGTTATTAAATAAAATGATTACATTACTGTATTAATATGTAAGTGTAAATAAATAAAATACAGTTATTACTGTTGAACCAACACGGTACACTTGTCATACACACCTTTCTAACAAGATCTCCAAGGGTACGCGCAGCGACCTGGCGTTTGTCGTAACTAGTAGAAGCCAAACACCCGAGGAGCAGCCCGAATAATGTGGGCAGAATCTCGCGCAGGGTCTTTGGTGTATTCGTCACGACCACCTGCAAAAATACATTCCAATGTGGTTTTTAAGTGCATTATTTTTTATACCAAATAGCTTATAACATATGTATTGCCTATACGTATATAGCTGCGGACAGTTTTAAATGTAAGTTTACACATGTTAATCAAAACTTAACTATGTAACAAAATATATTAACTTTTAACAAAACGTAAAAGTTTTGTTATAACTTAATTTATTTTTTTACCTTTTCCAGTGGGCTAATGAATATCACAATTTCAAAATTGTCTAAATAATTATACATTAAAAAGTTCAACCTTATTTTCCACCCTTAGGGTTGCAATTGTTTATCCCAAATTTAGGAAACTACCTTAGAGGTATATTATATTTGATAAAAAAATAATCATTAAAATCGCTTCACAATTGGCAAAGATGTGGCGGGTGGATGGAAAAGGGGAGATTTCCCGCCGGGCAAGGTATTCTGCCCGGGGAGCGGTCAACGCTCCGATTGGTAGTTCGGAGCTATTCTATATATGCTGCTTTAACTTCGGAACTTTGTTAGTGTGATTTAGGCTTCGATGTGTCTCGCTTGTGGCCACCCCCCTGCTCAGACCGGAGGTCGATAGTGCAGTCTAGATGTCGACGAATTTGCAAGTGCCAGGGAATTGCCTTGTAAGTCTGCGGTGAGTCGAGAAGAAGGCAAGTAATCTGCGAGAGTGCCGTGAAGCAGGGGAGAGCAGTAAGGCTCAGAGCCGTGCCGGACACTGTAGCGCAGAGAGTAGCTTGAAGGAACAGGAAGCATTATTATTCCAGAGCTGCGATGAACCTTTGTAAAGCTAGATGGCTTGAAGACTGCAGACAATATCTGCTCGGGAGCGAATGAATGGGGTACTTGAGGATGATGAAGGTTTGAAGGTCTAGTTTCCGAAGGTTTGTTGGTTGCGTGTTCATATCACGTCGGGTGGTCACCACTGTAGCGGGTGGAAGGAAAAGGAAAGATCTCCCGCCGGGAAAGGTGTGCTGCCCGGGGAGCGGCCAACGCTCCTCCCACCCGCCACAAAGATATCGCGTAGCACACATACAAAAAACATACAGTTAAATCGTAAGCCGTTTTAGAAGTAGGCTAAAAATACACTACACACAAAATAAAATGCGAAATAATTAAAGTTTATGAGAGAACTAAGAATTTTAAAATACTGTTTTAAACAAAGTATTAAAATTTATTGACATTAATTTTAATAAAGTTAGATCTAAAAGTGGCTTTCAACTCTAAAGGATACGTACCTTCCAGACATGCAGGGCTGCCTGACGCACCATCAGCGCGACATCGCTCCTGCCCATGTACAGGCCCGCCAGCACTCTGTTCCGACGCTCCACGCCCAAAGCATTCATGATGGCCTTGTGCGACTGCTCCGTGCCGAAGTTGTCGTCTTCCGAGGCAGTTTCCGTGCTCATCTTGCCCGACACGCCCGATATACGGTACAGCAGGTCACCCAGCAGCTGTACCGAACTGTATCTGATCCTCCAGTTGTCGTCGAACAGGCCCCTCTCCAATTCTGGCAGGAGCAATGTGATGGCAGACTCCGCGTATAAGTTGACGATCCTCTGGCCGGCCTTCAGAGCAGTTTCCCGCACGTACTCGTTTTCGTCGGCGAGCGCCTTGAGGATCGGGTTGATGATCTGGCCGATGTAGGGCGTGAACTCGTCAGTAAAGGCGCCCGGCATGTAGATGAACATCATTATGTAGCCGTCCTTCACGTGCGGCGCAATGTCCGTGCGCTCGGCTGTCGCTATTATATCTGTTGGAAAATATGACAGTCAATTTTAGAGTAATACAAAGAAGTGTCTGTGCCGTGGTGGCGACACAAAATTCATTACCTATGTCGTTCCGAACAATATAGATTATTTTGTTTTTTTCTATTAGAGGCAAACAGTCATATACGAACGAGATATCAAGAATTAATTACTTATAGACCTACAGCCTCTTTCGTAATACGTAGGTAGGTTGGAAACTAAAAAATATACAAATTTGAATAAAAATCTTACACAGATCTTGAAGCTAACGTTACTTTATAAAAATGATTGAAGACTGGTTGTAGTACAAACTGAAGTTTGAATATATATATATATATATATATATATATATATATATATATATATATATATATATATATATATATTATTTATTTATTTAACAACATAAGTATAAAAACACAGGTAACTGCGGGTCCTAAACTAAGCGCAGCTTGTATCTCAGGACCCTGGCATGCGATATTACAAAATGGTTTGTCACTGGACAACATTTACTTAAACATATACTATACGGTAGTTTTAACATAACATGATTGATATCGGAGGTTAAAAATAATGTTTCTAATACAAATAATATGGTGGTATTATTTCACTACACAATTAAAATTAAAAATTAATTATAGCGCTTGTAGATGACTCTGTAATAGTTGAAATTAGAATGAGTACGATCGAGTCCAGTTTGTGAGTGAGTGAGTATTAGTGCGTGTGTGTGTGTGTGTCTGTGTGTGTGTGTGTGTGTGTGTGTGTGTGTGTGTGTGTGTGCGCGCGCGTGTGTGTGTGTGTGTGTGTGTGTGTGTGTGTGTGTTTGTCATATGTGCTATTTAATTAGCTCTTCAGTGTCATTATATGTTAGAGTATAGAGCATGTTCTTTAGTAAGGTTTTACATGAGGAAAAGGAGCGGTCTCTAAGGTCAATTATTTTTAATATTCTATTGTAAATGAAGGGATGAGTGAAAGTGGGACAACGTTTAGCTAGGTCTGACTTTACGATTGGAACGGGGATTCTAAAGGTTCGTTTGCTTCTTAAATCATTGTAATCCGGGCGAGATCTTACAGTTTTGTGCACTTTGAGTGTGGCATTGTAAATAAACAGCTGTCGTACCCGTAGTACTTTAAATTCTTCATACAGGGAGTTGGTAGGGTATGTGAATGGTTTATTCAATATTACTTTAATTAATGCACGTTGAGCCCTTTCCAATGTCATAAATGCAGTCCTCCCAGCGCGGCCCCAAACACAAATGCAATACTGCAGTATAGATTGGCATAGTGCAAAGTACACCTGACGTATTATATCCACAGGAGTACAAACTCGCAGTTTTTTCATAATGAAAATGAACTTTCGCACACGGGAAGACAGATTTGAAATATGGGCATCAAACGTTAGGTTTTCATCTATGATAACTCCAAGATATTTGGTCATGTTAGAGCGCGCAATCGGTTCACAGTTACAGCCATGCAGATAGGTATAATCATTCCTGCAGTAATGAATTGTTAAAGGAATAGCAATCGGAGGACTCGTTCGTCTAGATTTAGAAAAGCATATGTATGTAGTCTTTTTCTGATTTAGTGTAAGTAGATTTACATTTAAGGACATGGCAATCCGAGATAGGCCTTGTTCCGCGGTACTGTATACTCGACTCCATGTCGTATCGTAAAACAATATGGTTGTATCATCTGCGTAAGCGATTACATTTGAATTAGGCAGTTTTTGTTCGAGGATATCGTTCAAGTACAAAGTGAAGAGAGTAGGTCCAAGGGTACTGCCCTGGGGAACACCAAAATTAACATGCAGTTGCCTACTAGTGTGTTTTCCTACTTTTACGCACTGTTTTCGCATTTTAAGGTAAGTTTCAAACCATTGAAGTGTATTTCCTCTTACTCCAGCGGCTTCTAGCTTTTTCAATAGGAGGCCAACAGAGACAGTGTCAAAAGCTCGCGATAAGTCGAGAAAAACACCTATGCAACATTTCCCACCCTCCACGTGTTGTGATATCTGGTCAGCTAGTGCTGCTACAGCGTCGTCGGTCGATTTTCCCTGTCGAAAACCATATTGCTTATCCGAGATAATCCGATTTTTATGTAGAAAACGGACAAGTTGCCTATTCACTATCTTCTCTAGAATTTTCGATATGATGCTAAGTAAAGAGATTGGTCTGTAGTTTTCCGGTAAGGTTGGAGAGCCATTTTTGAAAATAGGTGACACTGCTGCAGTTTTCCAGGATTCTGGAAAAACTCCCTTTTCTAGGCTTAAATTAAATATGTGAACGAGAGGAATAATAACATTACTGCAGGACTTTTTAAGCAGCGTAACAGTGACATGGTCTAATCCTGGGGAACTGTTGGCTTTTAGGTTGTGAATGATTCGGCTCACTTCTTGTTCGTCAGTAGGATGCAGATAGAAAGAATTTGGGTTAGATTTTGAACATCTGTGATTCTTGATAAGTTGGTCTTGAGATGTGCCTAAGTTACTTAAAATTTTTTCAGCGTAGACCTCCCCTACTGTTGCGAAATGGTGATTACATTGGTCTAAAGATGAAGTTGGGTTGTTTAGATCCTTGATAAGTTTTGTGGGGTGGGACTCTGACGTAGAATTATAGCATAGGCTTTTAATTTTATTCCAAAGACCACGTGCATTGTCTTTGCTTTCAGTAATTTCCTTTCTGTTATGTTCAGCTTTAATATTCCGTAGTAGAGTGTGAAAAAAGTTTCTGTACCGCGTGTAGACCAATAATTTACGTTGGTTATTCGGATCAGCTCTATAATCAAGGTGCAATTTGTCCCGGTGTTTCATGCATCTTATTAATCCAGGGGTGATCCAGCATTTTATGTTGCTCTTTCTGCGACCTACTTTAACTTCCTGCGTGTACTTATTGATTGCGTATGTAATAGCATCATTAAATTTGTTTGAGGCGGTGTTAACATTATTTTCGCTTGTTATTTCATTCCAGTGCAAACTGTTGATATATGAGGCAACCGACTCCCAGTCTGTTTTTCGTATCATGCGTACTTTACTTGTATGTCGGTTGATTTGCAAAAGAATTTCAGCCAGAGCAAAATCATGATCCGTAATAGATGATTTGCAGACGAGGCCTGAGGATTTTGTCTCAGATTTTATGAAGATGTGGTCAAGGCATGAGGCTCCTCTAGTTGGCTTTGATATCGCTGGATATAGACCATGAGATGCCATCAAGCATAAATAGTTGGCTGCTTGTGCACTCATTAGATCATTTATATTAATATTAATGTCACCTGCAATTACTAGGGTTCGTTTGTGTTGAATGTCAGAGAGTACAGAGTCTAAGGAGGAAATAAATCGATCGGTATTTGAGAAGGAAGGAGAGCGGTAAATTCCTAGAACTGTAAGGTCGTTATTTATATTTATGAGGAGACTATCAGCGTCATCCAATTTATGTACCTGAGGTGCAATTTCACTATTCCATGAGTTTTTTACGTAAGCGACGATCCCACCACATTTGTTTACTTGTGATAAGGATTGATAGATTTTGTAACCCTCCAATGGTTCAAAAATGATACCATCACACAGCCAACATTCCGTCAATACAATGACATCCAAATCCAGGTCCAAACGTTTGAGAGCTATTTTAAAATCGTTAAAATTACGTTGATAACTTCGTATATTGAATGTCAAAACTTTTAAACTATGCTCATCATTAGTAAGAACACTCTTGCATTTTTCCATAGAGAAATATATATATATATATATATATATATATATATATATCTTTATATATAAAAATTACGTGTCACGTTGTTTGTCCGCGATGAACTCCTAAACTACTGAACTGATTTCAATGAAATTTGCACACTGTGTGTAGTTTGGTCAAACTTGAGAGATAGGATAGTTGTTATTCTGATAAGTGACACTCAATATTTTTTTAATTACGAATTTAAGGATTTTTCATACGAAGGGTCGTCTAAAAGGGCAGAACAACGTCTGCCTGGCCAGCTAGTATATATATGTATATGACGGCATAACGACAGCGTCGTCGTGCGCTGGCACAGCAGACTGAGTAAACAACTAAAGTTACCTCATAACTTTATATATATTTAATCTTTATTGTTTTTGTTGTAGCTTAGTTTCTGTTATAGTTTTGATTAGCATGTGTGATATTTTGGAATTTGATGATAGTTACTTTTCTTGCTCTTCTTCTGGTTCTTCCGATAAGACCTATAAAAGCGCTTTAAGCGATGATTCCACTCATTTACATGATCAACTAGTAGCCGTATTCTGTAATTATAGTAAAAATCTTAATATAGTCCATATTAACGCTCAAAGCATACATGCTCAATACGCTGACCTTTTATCAACCTTAGATTCTAAATATGTTGATGCCATACTTGTTTCTGAAACTTTTCTAAAACCTGCACTTCCGTCGGTACAGTATTGTCTCCCTGGTTTTCAACTTATACGCAATGACAGGGTCGGCAAAGGTTATGGTGGAGTGGCAATCTATTTGAGAGCTGACATTCCCTATAAAATAGTTGATCATTCACCCAATATTTACTCAAATTTTGCTGAACATTTATTTATTGAAATTACGAGGGTGGATTGAAAAGTACTCGGCCTAACACAGATCCATTCAATTCTAAAAATCAAATCTACCCACATTATTTAGTTCAGTTTAGACTAGTTCGTTGTGTGAAGTTCGAAACGTGTGCGATAATTAGTTGTGATTTTATAAATTTATTAACAAAGTAATCGGACATAATTTCCGCGAATGGAGCAAATCGAGCAGCGTGCCGTCATTAAGTACCTCCATAAGAAGGGGCTATCATCAAAAGCCATCCATGATGACATGGTCAGTACATTAGGCGATTGTGCTCTGTCATATTCATCCGTCAAAAAATGGATAGCAGAATTTAAGCGTGGTAGAGAGAGTGTGAAAGATGAACCCCGCTCTGGAAGGCCTTCGACGTCAACTACTGACGAAAATATTAAAAAAGTACTTGATTTAATAATGGGAGA